ACGCCGCCGCTCCCAGCCGCCTCTCCTCCGCTCTCCTCCCCCCAGCTCTCTCCCCGCGCTTCAGACCCCCCTCGGCAACTTTCCCGCTCAGCCACCTCACTCCCTCCTTCCCGCCACGGCCGCGTCCCGCTCCCCGCCCCGTACCCGGCGGCCTGGCGGCGGGGCTGCACGCCGCGCTCAGGCTCAACGCCGCCGCCTTCTCTCGCACCGTGGCCATCGCCGCCGCCCGATCCACGCGGCGCACGGCCCGCAGGAGGTTATTCCACAGCAGTTTATCCCACAGCAGCTCTTATCCCGGAGGAGCTCTTATCCCATCCCGCCGGGGGGCGGGGCCGCCTCCCGCGCTCAGCCCATTGGTCACCGCGGCCGAACGGCCGCCCGCGCCGAGCCGAGCCCTCAGGGTGGCTGAGGGAAGAGGCGGCCGCGCTAAGGGACAGAGTTGGGAGTGAAAGTTGTATTGCTTGTGAACAGTAGGAAGTGACGAGCAGATATTTCTTTCTTGAGGGAAGGTGGGAAGACGAGCTTACAAACGAGCTCGCTCTGACAGGCGCCATTTCAGGCGAGCCTTCTGCTCAGGGTCTGACCCACTGGCATCAGCTTGCTGAGGATGAAGGAGACGGGATAACGCGTGCTGTCACACACGGTGAGGTCTTCCCTGGTCGCGGAGGGAGATGAAACAAAATAAGAGCTAAGAGCTTTAAGCACAAAGGGAGAAGCTGTCGAATGCCAGGTGCTGCCCAGCTTTTCCCATCAGCTTGCAGGCTGGAGGCCGGCCGGGGCGTTTGGATGAATGATGGCTGTAATTCCCAGGCGTTGCAGGCACAGGTGAAGGGGATGGAATTGAATACGAGGCCTTGTGGAGCAAGAGATGGCTGTATGATGGAGTCCTGCAACTGAATTGCATTGGAAAGGCAGAAGTTGGAGCGTATGTTGTCTAAGAGGATGGAGGTGTACTGGGAGAACAGAGGGGCTGCCGTTGTACTGATTGGTGCTTGTTGTGATCTGAAAAATGTTGGGTCTTCTTGAAAGAAACAAAGGAAAAAAATTCAATTTCTTAAAACTGAAGACCTCAAATCTGAAAGAAAAAAAAAAGTCTAAGCCAAAGACGAGTTCAATATCCAAAATACTTTTTGTACTTGAAGTTCCAAAGATTAGGAAAGATTGACTTGTCACTGAAAACTGACAGACTGAGAGACATTCTTGCAGGAGAACACGACTGCTGTATTGCTCGTTTTCAAAAGACACTTCACATGCTAATCTGACATCTCACAGTCAGACTACTCAAGGATCTCTCTTCTACCACCAGATTTATTTCCTTAATTTCAAGTATCTTCCCATAGCAACACCAGCTTTTAAGTACACGTCAACACCATCTAAATTTACATGTACAGAAAATCATATCGCCATAATAGCAAGGATCTGTTGGACTCAGTCTTCATGGTTTTGTTCCTGAAAGAGCACATCAAACAATGCTTTACATAAAAATTCATGTAAATGTTCCAGTTATTTAGAATAGTCACTTTTTTTCCCAATTTAAATACAGACAATGCCTGTATTCACTGCAGTGGCGAAGCTGATGAAAGAACATTTTGAACAGTAGCTCCTAAAACGTTGCTCTATTCCACTCACCAGTGATGAGAGACGTTTTGACATATGTTTCGTAGTCTCACATACGTAAATGAAACCCACAGCTTTGGTTACAGAAATTATAATTTTTTAAGTCACAATCATCAGAATAATATGAAATCTCCCCAGTTGTTTTGCACGAAGATATAAAGCCTGGTATTTATTTTTCTTAATACTGAAACTGCCCTGTAAAATTCACCAAATGCTCTCTTCCACCTTTATTAAGCTCAAATGGAGATAAACGAATAGCTGTTCATATCAGATTGCCAAGGGCTATTTGATATGCCAGACGTGTGAGGGATGCAGTACATGTCTTATAACTGAGTTATGCGTTCTGCTACTTATACTAAGAGTGCAAGAGGTTTGCTTGGCACTGACCTCCAGGGGTTAGAGAACTGAGTCTCCATCAGGTTGCAGAGCAGGTTATTCACAAATTCACTCTTAGTTTCAATTTCTCATTACGTTGGAATTTAAAAAGATGACCTAGCTGTAGGTTCTTTGGGATACAGCGATGCCATCACACAACATTCACACCACAGTGCCAACCACATCTGCTCCACTGTGGAGAAGCTGTGTTCAGTTGCACAGCTTGGATAAGAGTATGATTCACTCTAAGCACAAACTTCAATATTTTATAGCAAGGAAATCTGCAAGGATTCCACCCTTGCATTTTTGAAGAGTCTAGAACAATAAACAAGTTCCCCAGACAGAAGCTTCTGGATGACTGACTGTTTGAATCGACAAAGTGTGCATTGTTCACGAGTGCAATCCTTCCATTCCTGGGCTGGAATACCAATGGGGTACCAGACAAAGTCAAGCAGTACAATATAGCAAGTGAAGGGCAGGGAGGCATTCTGCTGAGCCTGCACTGGTGCACACTGACCTCCAGTGGAACACATTGTATTCTGTTAGAAACTATCCATGCAGAAGGGCTGGAGAAAGTCAGAGCCAGAATTGCTTGAGAATTACTTTGAAGAAGCGTAAGGGAGCAAAGACTGCTAGCAATGTGACCAAAAACACAGCAGTGTGCCTCTGCTTCCCCAATAGGCAATACCGATTGTTGTCTTAAATGGGCTTTTCATCTCTCGCAGAAGTCTTCTGAGACATTCATTTCTGCAATTTATTCTTTTTTTACAAGCAGAGATTGAATGCAGTATGGCTAAATGTGCTCAGCATGGTCCCAGCAGCACTGTCTGGGTAAAGGCTCCTTGCACAACAGTAAAGATTCGCTGTCACCTGCGCTCCAGAAACCTGATCCACCAGAAGGCGCAGAGTGGAGCACCATCAGACACAAGTAATTGATATGCCAGAAGGCTTCCTCTGCTCTGCCCCGCTGGGAGTTACTGTTTCACAGGTGAGCTAAAGTACCTGACTGAACATTGCAGCACAAACCCAAATACATTAGCTTAACTGAATGTGGGTTTAGGTAAATCCACAAAGTGATTCAAGAGCTGTTCTCACAAATTGACACAGCTGTGGAGGACCCGAGCTCAAGCCAAATAAGCAGTGGTGATTTCCAGCTGAAGCACAGCATGGTGGTAACTTAAACTTGCAGGGAAAAGTTTCATGGCCTGTATTCTTGGAGTAAGCAGCCAGCAGTGGCACCTGCTGAACAGGACAGCAGTAGCAGATTAAGAAAAAAGAGGAAAGAGCAAGAACTCTAGATGGATTTATCAACCATAAGTGAATTCCTGATGTTGACCACTTATTTTCACTTATTCAGAAAACTATGTACCAATTCTATCACCATTTACACTTAGTGTAAGGCTTGTGTTCTAGAGCAATGAGTTGGGTTTTTTGTGGGTTTTGTGTTTTTGGTGGTTTTTTTTTTTTTTTGCATTAATCCATAATTCACTTTTTATGTTGCTGTACAATGTGCCGCAGTCAAAACCTGTGTCATGTTTTGTCAGGCTCCTAAGTTTCGGATGAGAAAGAGCTCTGGAAGCACTGGCTGCAGGGAGCCTTGTCACTAACTCGCAGAATGAAAAAATAATTCTTTCTTTTCCCCTCTTGTTTGACCAGCTGGTTCCAGAATTGCAACACTTGGATTCTCACGCGTAAGCTTTATCTTCAGCTTCTTTTGTGCAGAGTCCATTCGGTGTAGTCACACTATCTCTCTGGCTGTTTATCAACTGTTGGACTTTGCAGTGAAGCAAATAAAAAGCCTTCTCTTATTCTTCGTTCTGTGACCAAAGTTGTAAGAATAATAATTTCGATATGTCAACCAACAGCAGAAAGTTGGAAGGTTTCAGAATCCACCAAGGCTGCTTTACTCAGTGAAATCCTCATTCTCCCAGAGCTCTGAATAAGTTACCAATGTGACCTAACCGCACGACCAAACACTGGTGCTTCAGCTTTTATTCAGTGATCACAGCATTTGCTTTGTTGCTGCTGTAAAAATGTGATAAGTAATGCACAAAGAAATCATATTAGCAGGCACCACAGGTAGAAAGGAGGATGATGCGAAGTAACACAACTATACTGAAAGCTCTTGCTATTGCCAGCCTCCCAGGCTCCAAACGCTGTGGCATATACTCCCAATTATACAGGTTTTCAAGTAATACACCTAGAATAAAAAGAAGTCAACAGAGACTTAATCTGATAATAATCTGAGCTGGAAACACCTGTGGAAGAATAAGCATTGGTTTGGGAAGCAGCTCTTACACAAAGGACCATTATAAAAATATTTTAGCCCTTCACATTCAATTTTTCCTTCAAGTAAGTGGCTCAGAGAACGCATACCATTTACCTTATGGCCAGCAATGAGATTATATGGGATTTCAGCCCCCTGTGTACAGCAAAAACATTCCCAAGGAAGTATCTGGAGCAGTTCCCTTTAAGTGAAGGGGGCAGGAGGAAAGACAAAAACCCCCCAGCACCATTTTTCCCTGTACGTACACACAGACAGCGTTCTAGGTAAGAAAGAAAGAACGCGAATAAAACAGGATAGCAATAAAGCAACCGAATCACAGAAGATATTTCTTTTCCGGCTCTTCATTTCTCACATCAGTTTAAGAACTGGCAGATAGACTGTGAAAATGAATGCGAAGCACTCAGAAATACAAAACCAGTTCCTTACCCACGTTATACAATGAAAAAGAACTAGAACTGCATTTTTTCATCTTGAGATCATAACAGTCTAAACTGCCATTTTCTCCCCAACAAACTAACTTTTCAAGTCTCAGCACTTTAATAAGAAACGACTGAGAATTATGAGGTTTTTGTTTAAAAAGTGTTTTCACTTTAATGGGTTTAGTTAATAACATCACAAATGGTACAAAAATGTGTCCTTTTTCACATTTCCATACATTGTATTACGGACCACCTGAAAATCTGGACTAAGAACATATAAAGTGTCTGTTATTAGCCCTAGCTTCTTTTTTTTGTTTTTTTTTTCTTCCCATACGTAGAGGAGATATGCAGAAAACATGCATGTGTTAACAATGACATGTCAGGAGTAGCTTAAACAATAAGATATGACAGAACGTGCACACTGCCATGCACGTGTGTGTGACAGACCCAACGTCCTGTGTTAGCAGTGAGCAATGAAATGACCAATGACACACCGACATTTTGTGACCGTAGTTTTAGCTCTTCTGTTTTAAAATCGTTTTAAATAGTAGTAAATATTTAAATAATATTTAAAATATATTTCCCTTACGGAAATCATTTACTTGGAAGACAGCCTGTAAGATTTGCCTTTTTAAAAAGTAGTATTTCATTTAGACAACATAAGAATACGATACACGTCGCAGAGCTCTGAAGATCCTGAAGTCCTTAGCCATTTTCAGACACAGTTTTTCAATCCAATTTTGTCTCCGATGTTTTGCTAGCAAAACTTTGGAAGTAGCATCTCTAAGAAAACCTGCCTTTAAGAGAAATACTGTATTTCAATACAAAACAAACCCAATGTAAACAGGGATGCCATACTAAAGGAAATGACAGTGGAAATAAAAAGTTTCATCGCACAATTAGTTTAATTTCTGCTTTGCTAATTCATAGTCTAAAGAGGGTTCTGTTCCTTCCTAGTGCATCTTCTCTTGCAGATGTGAGTGCTCAGTTTCCACTGTTAGACATTCAAGGATAAGGATGTCACTGTTGCTTCAAGAAGAAGACAGAAGTTGGAGCTGTGGGTGCAGAGTTATCTAAAACGCAACAAAGTATTTGTGCAAGAAGAATTATCTGTACATTGACATTTTTTCTCAGTTTGCTTCAGTATAAAAAAAACCTTTTCAGACCCACTAACAAAACTTTGTTCTTGTTTATGATCCTTTGCACACTTGAGAGTTCTGTGCTTTTATTCATCCTCAATGGTAAACTAATAAATCCAGCCACCATTTTTGTAGCCCATGACAAAGATGGCAGCTCTGCTACATCTGCAGTAGTCTGGGGCAGTTAGACAAGTTTTTCCTCTACAGGCACAGGGCTTGTTTAACTGGGCTGGGGAATAATCCAGCCAAAAATCAGCCAGGTCATCCTCTCCAGCACTGCAGAGCATCCTGGCCATCTTTATTTACTTATCTAGATGGTCGTCACCAGAATTCACCTTCCTATTAAATGGGGACAAACTGCTCCAAAACCCTCTCATCTCTTTTTTTTCCTTCAGTTTCTAAGGACTTGGATGAAAACAACCAGTTTCCTAAAGCTACTTCTAGATTCAGAACTCTAGAGAGCTGTAAAGTAGTGGTGTAGAAATCTTTCAGAAAGCAAAAAGCTTTCTCTGTTGGTTGCTCTCAGTCATATGAGGGAGGGAAAGGAGACAAAGAGTCCGATGAGTTCTTTACAGTCAAGGAGACAACAACTCCTGTTCCCTCAGTCTGCACCCTAACCATCCTTGGCAACACAGCCCAGGAACTCCCAAACTCTGTTGTTTCACCGAAAGGGGCCAACAGAACACCACGTGTGCAATTAAATGTCTCTCCTGTATCTATGCAGCCGGGAACTGCTGCTGCCATTGTCCCTCCAATAAGGGAATGCCCTAAATAAATTTGGGAACTCATGCTACAGATTAAATGGCACAAGAGGCTCAGAGCTACCACGTCTCCAGTTGGCGTATTTACAGCAAACCCATTTTTAGCTGATGGCCACTGACGTTGGCAGCTCTGCTTCACGTGTTAACCACAGGCTTTGGCTCCTGCCGCGTTCAACACAGCGCGACTGAAACAACCGCAAGCCTCCAAGGCTCATGTCTACCCTTCCTTACTCTGAAAAAATGAATTAGCTTCACAACTGCTCTGACATTCTGCACGTTCTTCCTAAATAAAAGCCCATTTCACTCTCCTTGATTATAAAGACATCACAGTAGCACAACGCATCTAGTAACTCGATAGCGACCTCCCTTTTTAAAGCAGCCGGGTTATGACGAGGCTTTAAAAAAGGCAGAGGTGACACCATCTCTGTTCACTGTAGTCTGCATACAAGTTTTAAATGAGAATTATTGCTTTGAAAAGACAAATAGCTTTGGAAATATGGTAAACATCCTATACAGTTCTAAAACTAATCAGCTAAAATTCTGTACATACTTTAATATTCAAACCTATTTGATTACTCGAGATCAAATAATTGCATTTTTACATCTATTCATTAAACTCTTCATAGTTCTAAAGTCTAATGAATGTTTAACAACTAAATAGGATAAAAACAGACAACAGGAAAAAAGGTCACATGGCAATGAACATTATTTCATTTGGCCAATGAATAGTGAACCCTGCTTTCTTGGCTGAAATTAAGGCACTAAGTGGCAGTTAGAAGATAAAGGAATTATTTTTTCCTATGTTATCTGGAAAAGAACACCACGAGTTTTTTTTTTCTTTTTTCCAGGACCCCAGTAAATATCCGTTCTGAATGACTCAGTAAGGCATTCTGTTGGCAAATTTAAAGAAAACGTTCTCCTGATTACAGCCCATTACATTCATTGTCTGAGAATGACTAGTGGCACTACTGTTAAACCGGAGGGACAAAAAAAGCTACAGGAAAATGTCTGAAGACTTGAAAGGCACCAAAGAGAGAACAGCTCTGCAACTGCCAGTTCTACAGACAACTAGGTAAGCTGTGTTTAACACTGCATGTAGTCTATTCAGTCAGCAATCTTTGTTGACCAAGATATAGTAGTTCCTCATTTAAACTCTCAGTTAATCAAGTGCTAGTTTAGTAAGAAATTTATTTTCATGTGTCAGAAGATACTTGCAGTGTCTAACACAACTACACTTAAAGCAAAACTAGTCTAGTATGCATTATTCTGGTTAACACTGAAGCAAACCTGTATAAACAAAAGGGTTACCTCGAGATACATAGTTTACAATACGAAATCAACATAAATGAATAGGATTTACTGGAAACAATGGAAAGTATTACAAAGATACATGAAACAATTTTAACCACAATATTTTCTCTGTGAAAAATACAACTATTAGTGAGATAAAATGTACAATTGAATTTTTTTTTCCAAAAGAAAAAAAAAAAAAACACTGTATAAAGGAAAATATTTTTTTTCTTCAAAATGGGGAAAATAGTTAAGGTCATTGTCTTTCATTACAATATAATTTGACACACAAAAAAAAGCAGTCATAGGATTGCACCAACTCCACGTTCAGTCTCCTGAACATGACAATAGTAAAAGGAGTCCATAAAGCATAATGACATTTCTGGGTTTGATGGTGGCAACACCTGTTCACAGAAACTGATGGCGCTCCGGCTCTGCTCACAAGATGTACAAAGCTCAGTTTGGCAGCCAGACACATGTACCCCAATGCTGACTTTTCTGTTGCTTAGTCAGAGATGGAAAAATCTGTCGTATTTTAAGTGTCGATATCTTTTTAGCAATAAAGAAAAAAAGAATATGTAGTGCATGCTTTATCATTTGTCAAAAACATTTCTGAAAATAAAACTAAGTTATCCGATAGTTCACAAAAAAGAAAAAAAAATAATTCTCCAGGTTAACAATGTGGTTAGGTTTACGTTCAGTTCCATCTCCAAAGGGCTGATTTCCTTGGCAGCATCACTTTTCCTTAGCAAGAGCCAAGGCACAAAGTTCCATAAAGAGAAATACAACTGCCTATGAACAAGAACGCAGGCTGGCTTTGTAAAAGAAATCAGAGCCTCTCTGAGCTTTCTGTTCCATCAGATTAGTGCCGAAGAAAAATGTGAGATTTGGAATACATTTCTGTTAGGAGCATTTCTGCTGCACACGATTCAAAAGTTCACCAAACTTCTCAAAAAGATCCTCCACCCATTTCATATTTTTCATGCACAGCTGCACAATCTCCTCCTGTCCTAGATCTGCACTTTTCTTCTGAACAGAAGAAATCTATTTTGAGGAGAAAGAGAGAAATGCGTATACATGTAAACATATGAGACTGCCAGTCTGTCAGGTTTTTTGTTTTTATGTAACACTCTGTAGATAAATACAACCCTTCTTCAGAAGAAAACCTTTATGCTTTAAAAACAAAGAAAAACCCTCCTCAGACTGTTCTATTAGGTGCTGAGCCAGACTTCAACTCCTGTGGTTCTGCTACCTGGAACGTTTCAATCAAGAATTTGCAGAAGAATAGACTGGAGTGGGCATTAGAAGAGTAGCTCCTAGATCTCACCAGTTACATAAGCTACTGAAATCAATTTAATTTGCTTGAAGAACAGTGAAGAATGCTAATCTAACTCTGATGCAAACCGATTCCACACAAACGTCTTCAGCCTCACCTCATCAGCCTCATCACGAGCAGCAGTGCCCTTCAGGGGCAGCACATGCACTCGCCATACCCTTCTGTTTGTGGATTTAATTATTTCCCTATGGCAATCTATACTCACTTATCAAGAGTACAACAGTGCCTCTGTACCTCGACTTCCCAAACAACTGTAAAAATATCTCCGAAAAACAGCAATACTTACCTCCTCTTTACATGTCAGATATATATGATATTTGTAATGATGGAGTGAGTGATACAAAGAATACAGCTGTATTTTTTCTGGATCTACCGTAAACTCCTGCAAAAACAAAGGGGTTTTTTTTCAGGTAAATTCACGTTATGTCTCAAGACAGAGACGTGACAGGCACGTCACCCTGTAAGTAATTTTTATCAACAGTTCAGAAATGGAACACTTCATTCAAATACTTGCTGTGACACATTCTGGTAGGCTGCAATTTATACTATGTCATTCTCATTATCTCGTATCTCCACGTTCCCTACAAAATCATTTTATTAAAACCAGCTTTGAGAATGCTTTCAGTGCTTCCAATGCACTGCGACTGAAGTCCAGGACTAGTAGGACACCACTTTGACAACTACTACAGGAAGGTTAACTACTTCCTATCAAAACAGCTGCATTGCACAAAAGCATACAGACTGTGCTTTAGGTAAGTACAGATCAGCTCTACTAGATGTGATTTATTCAGCCACCTGTTGCCCCTGTGAGTCAGGAATGGGCCGGTACTTAGCAAAACCCAATCATAGGGTCTCTCCAGGAATGCTACAGAAACAAAGCGTAATCTCAAGCTTCTCCCTTCCCATCCAACTACACAGACCAGTTACTGCCTGCACCAGAGAGGCAGCACTGCTACTTTGTCTTTCTGCAAACTTGAGTGGATGCCACAGAAGACTTCCTGTATAAATACACAGGATAAATGTATAAATGTGTAAAATGTATAGATGTATAAATATGCAGGATAAGAGCATTTGGGTCTAAATATAGAAGAGACATGCAAACAACACACTGCAGTTCAAGAATTCAAGTAGGGGAATCCTTCTGAAATGTTTGATTATATTTTATGGACTATAACTTTGGAACATAATAACCACTGGAATATAACCTTTGTTTTGTTTTGTTTTTAACAGAGAAAGCATTTCGTTCAACAAAGATTTTAGGTAAAAAAGCCCAATACAAAAAACAGTGTTTTACACAGACACACGGTTATCACATTCCAGGTCAGATGGTGGCAGCAGCAAACCCTTGAACACTCACCTGTGCTAATTTAGTGGTTGATTTAGAGGCCCTCAGTGTTTTCTTGTTGTAAGCTTTACCATTCATTTTGATCTTAGACACAGATGCTCCACCGCTTTTTGTCTTAGAATCCCGAGTGATCACTGTGAGTTCAGGAAAGATTTCCAAAGCGCTCTTTAAAGAGAGCACATAAAGAAAAAGGGATTGTGAAAAATTCAAGAACGGGCACCCACTGACTGCCAACTTCATGTTTGATTTGTTCAGTAACACAGCATCCACTGTACGCAGTGGAAAAACAATCGTTTTATCCGTGCTTATTAGTGCATATTCCAACTGAGCGATACTCAAGATGATGACATTTTTCACTTATTTTTGCCTCATTCAGCTGAAATACAAGCAGGCTTAATCCTTGTCAGATTAACTCGAATCTTACAGGAATATCAAACATTTTCCTCATCAATACAAACGCGTTGGCAAGCATTATTGTTTCATTAACTTTCATTTTTTGGATAGAATATTAACTCAGGTACAAGCTGGTACTTTCATAACAGAAGACAAACATAAAGGGCTTTTTATCTTGCAGTTTACATCACAAGCAGATTCCTTAGCTTAGACCCACAACTCCATCAACTTCCCGAGCTGCTATTGTGAAATTTAGGCTGAAGCTAACTTTAGAGATACGGTTGATAGGATGCCTCTAAGTGAACACACAGCAAAGCTATCACATGAACTCCATGTTATGAACTCCAACCGAAAAAGAAGTGTTAATTATACGTCAGCATTATAGAAGGCACTATTATTATTTTCCCTTAATAAACATAATAAGCAACTTCTCATTTTGCATGCTGGGAATGTAACTAGAATTCTAGAAATAGCCTACTTTAATTGGCCTATCTTCTTTCTCTGCACAGACAAGTCTAAACACATCAGCTAAGAAGCATTTTACTAACAGAAACTTTACAGAATTTTTACCACAAGCAAAAAGCAAAAATGGAGGGCTAATATATCCTGCCTCTCTGAGGCTCTGTGTTATGTTTTGAAAACATGCAGCCCTTCCCCGTGTGTCCAACAGTTCACAAATGAGTTGTTCTTTGATCATTCTGTCTGGGCTTCAAGCTACTCTGATCACTTTTTCTTTCACACGTCCAGGCATCTGCTCCACAGTACAGCTAATTAGGGTACAACTGTATTAGGATTTTTAAGTAATAAAATCACTTAACCGGCCGATCTAGAAGGACAGCAGACAGACTTGCTTTTGGCAAACTTGAGAAGCTTAGAAGGAGGAGAGTTTGAAAATGAATGAGAAAGCATAGTAAGCAAATCCAGAACTTCACCTTAGTGGTATAAACACCTCGATCAGAAATGTTCTCCAGATGTCACACACAAGCACTGCATTTATAGCATCTCTCTTTCAAATCCTTACTCTCTTCTGTTACAAATTTGCCTTCTGTGTTTTTAGTTGTGCCTGCATTCAATGACTGGCTTATAGCATTACTGTGAAAAGCTTAGAATTCAAAGAGAATACCTTGAAAGTATTATCCAGGCGCAATTTGGAAAGCAGCCTTTTCCTATTGTCATTCAGCATGCCATCAATTTTTCTCATGTGAGGCAAAAGTAGCTCATCTAAATGACAATTTAAAAAGTAACACGTGATTATTAAGAGACACACAGTAATGAGACAACACCTATCCAATCTATTCTACTTTTTATGTCAGTAGGTAGAAGAACTCAATAATAATGCAATGTGTTTATACACAGACTTTACAAGTCTGAGGTTTCTTCCCCCCAGAGTCAGACAGTGGTGTAGGTACCATGCAGGTTAACTGCTGGCTGCTGTTCAGATCCTTCTCCAACTTTCCTTTGCTAAATGGAAAAAGTCAAGAGAGAGCAATATAATCTTAAGCCATTTTCTAAACAATAAAATTGGCAGTTTTATGAAAACAGAATGCTTGTTTTTGACATTCTCTGATATAAGGGGACTCTTGTTTATAAAGACCAAGTCTTTGCTTTTAGTGGGACTACTGACATAACAAACAGGGTATGTAGATCCTTGAGGTCGTAAGTACACTGATGCACAACCAGAGCAAAATGGGAAAGAACTGTCTAGAAAATAGGTTCATTTAAATACGGGTGAACTTAATATAGTGGAAAACAGCAACTGCAACTCAGCAGGTGAAATGAGTGGTTTTTTGGAACCTTTAACTCCACATGAGTGTTTTGCTAATTTTTGAGGAATAGAATAGTTTTGAATTTTGTCTTCTGGAATCCACCACAGTAATAAGTCCATCAGAAGTTTCCTCCCTCATGGGAAAATAGAATACAACTGTCCTCGACCAGAATTTCAAAGTTTTGAAGCATGAAAGCCAGAATTTTTAATGTCAGAAAGACTCAAAACTACCCAGTTATATGGCAATTTATCTACAAGAAAAAGCACATACCTGAAACACTGTAATTTGAAATAAATGTTTTTAGGATTTTAAAAGACAATAAAAAAAGAGCTCAGATCTGACAAGTCAAACCTGACAAACAGCATTTCTGAGTTACTTTGATTCCTCAAATAGACAGTGCTGACAGATACATTTATGTGTGTGCACCTACCCTAATCTGAATTTGTGTCATTACACAAGCAGTAAATATATCACAAACGTTAAGTAAATAGGACAACAAAACAAAGAAACAAATACAAAACACCCAAACGCAAAAATCTAACAAAATCACACAGATTTTAAACATACTGTACCATTGCTCTTTTCCAAGGCTTGCATTGTGTCTGGATCCAAGGCAATGCTAACAAGCAACTCCATATAGCTCTTAAAGGTCTCTTTCATAGCTCTTGTGTTCAGAAAGCGAGTCACAAATGGAGGCGGAGGTACAAGCTCTGAAAATTAATGGGAATAGGGTGAATTTTCTTTCCTAAGTATTCCACAAATATTTTGTGCTTTCTTGAAAGCTGGAGGCTCTCTCTCATAAAACATAAGTGACCCCTACTGGTATCACAAGAGATTAAAACCCACTGCAATCAGAAATTACAGCAAAACTAAGCACACAACAAAACAGGTACAAACAACAAATTAGGTACAGACGGTACACTGCTGTTGTTGCTGTTGCTGTATGAACAATTTCACCTATCTGTATTCACACGATTGTGTTTTAGAAGATGTAGACATTTATTTTTCCATTATTGTAGATGAAAGCCTTATAGGAAAGGGACAACAAAGAACTTCATGGAGTTACTTCAGGCTTGGCACTGAAGTAGAAAAAATATATTGAATTGATAAATTATAGATGAGGTTAGCTGTTGCACTCCATTTTGCACAGCACACTCAAGTTCGTTTATTAATCAATTTGTTTTCCCCATGAGGCTACTAAGAACAACTGGCAAGACTTTTTCCACAAGACTATTTGCAGCTAGTTCCAATAGGCTGAGATGCTAACCATAGCGTGCCACTCACCATCTTCTTCACTTTGGGCCTCGGGTGAAGAATCAGACTGGGAAGACGAGAATTCCTCTTTCCACTTTTTCCTTTTCTTTGGAGGTGGTTCAGCCTTTACTTTTGGCTGCTTAGCTTTGGGTTTCACAGAAGAGACCTTTGTTGCTGCTGGTTTTGGGGGTGGTGGATCAGGTGCTTTGTTGTTGCTGCTACTGGGTTTGCAATGAATAGTCCTGCAACAGTATGAATGACACCTTTATTGAAACAGTTACCACACTAGCCTGCAATTTAAGGGAAGAGCTGTTGGCTTGTTTAACCATGAGATATTCCCTGTGGATTATATACACTTATTTTGCTGTCACGTGTAACTAGGACATATGCACTATAATGCCACATTTTTTTAATATGATGCTCAATAATTACTCTCAATTATCTATAACTAAATGGTGTATCAACTGTATAGCTAGATGACAAGCACAGCGAGTTCAAATTGCCCAGAATCAGTAGAACTTACAAGCTACAGAATATTGGGACTAATATTAAAACAGACCATAACAAAAAAAAATTCAGACTTGAACAAATAATAGCAATTAATGATCTCGGCTGACAAAGTGAATTTGGAATACTGTATCAATACAAAGATGGTACTTCCAGTAGAAGCACCAGGTAGGATTGCAAGGAGGACGAAGACAACTCCTCCCCTTTCAATTCCTAGCAATCAAAACAGGAAAACAATCAGGAAAGTTTGTATTTTAGGACCAGTAGAAATTTATCATAATCTGAGAACTCATCACCTGGAAACAACAGAAGAAAACTGTGTGATGTAGTCAGTTGCTAAGTACCAATGCAATAGAGCTTTGAGAATATGGGATGAATACAGGTCTGGGAAGTGCCAAGCAATTTCTCATTCAAATGAAAAAGCAGTGAAATGTACTATTAACACTGCTGATACCTTCTGGAATCTTGTGAATTCCAGACTCTGACAGAAAGGAAGACTTCCAACTGAAATGGGTGTCAGCAATAGATGACAGCGGGATGATTTGAGAAATGGAAAGCCTACTTTGAAGAGGAATGTGGAAGGGCTTTAATCCAGTTTAGTGATACTAAAATGGAATCTGATGGCTCTCCCAGAATATATCAGTGCAGTAACAACATCAGGGAAAAGCAGAAATAAGAGTCAAAAAACTGTACTGGAAAGAGAAAATACAGGTAGAAGCTAACCCTGGTATTTTGACTAAAAGACAATATTGTTTCAGGGTGCTGGACAAACAGGTCCTGGAACAGTTTCCTGTATTCCAAGAGGAAAAAAAAGGTACCCAAATCCCTGCAGTTTTAAGTAGACTGCGATTATTTTATAAAATCAGTTATCTGATGGAACTGCCTTCTTTGAGGAAACTGGACTTACAAACCCAGGGACTGCCTGAAAGAACGCTATTTTTTTTCATTACTGTTTATTAACATCTGATTAAAAAAAAAAAAACCTACATTAAATTTGAAAAGCCACAGAGAGGGAAAAGCCTCAGATAGCATCTGAAGCTGTGGGAAGATGAAATGAACTAAGCACAGAAAAGGCTGCATAATGCAGATTCCATAATCTTTTGCGAAAGTACAGCCAACACAAAACGCAGCAGCAAAGGCCTTTGCAAGCATACTTACAGTGTACTGGGTCAGGTTGGTCACTAAAGCAATCTATAAAGCATATCTAACTTGCAGAATCAACAAGATAGGAGAAATGGCAATAATAATAATAATAAAATCATTATGCCTGTAGGCTTCTATTAGGCTTCTATCAGGCACATGCTGAGCATCAGCACAAAAGAACACAAAAGCTCACAGTATACAGAGCTGTAATACCTTTGAAATTCATGACTATTAGAATGCATGGATTCCAGGTAAGGAAGTCTGGATACAACAGCAATTTATACCTCGTTTCTTAAAACAAAATACAGTTTCCAGTTTCCACTCAAAGATGAATTAAAATAGCACTGAGTTGTAAGCCTTGTTTATTAAAATAGGTTCCTAATACAAAAACAATATGACAATAAAAAGCAAGCTGAAATAAAATACCTTGCAGACTGTACAGGCTTGCTTCGTGGCTTTCTCGAACACACTCTAACATACTCCTTTTTGTTTGCATTCTCAATGAACTTCACATACACTCGTTTGTATTTTGTTTTTGCATCCCCGAAATAGCCAAGATACTAGGAAAAAAAGTAACATTCAAGTGCTTCTGTTAAGCAGAATTATTTAGTTTAATAATTAAACAATAAGAACAATGTTAAAAATAATCAGTTCACATACAGTGATGAGCCATCTCCCAGCAGTTGAGGAACAGGAATTATTCAATGGATTTCAAATAATGCTTATAATGAGAAAATGAGGCCAGAGGTACTTTGGGCTTTGTTTTTGTCCCTCTATTTGATAAACCACAGGTCTACTGCTATCAGGATTACCTGCTGCCAAAGGGTTACTGGTTGAAACTCTACCCTACATGTATCCTTCCCACAGAAAGCAGCTGGTTCACAAGCCTGCCTCCACTCACTTTATTCCAGTTGTGAAAAATTGTTCCGTCACCCCGAGTCAACAATAACAAAGAATCCATGCCCCAAAGCCAAGAATCTGTACAAATCTACCCATTTATGTATTTTGAAATAATTTTAGAGTAGGAAGAAAAGCTTCTCGTTATTTTGCTTTCTAGTCTTCCATCAAGGAATTTAGTTGCCAAGAGTCTTCCCAAGGAACATTCAGACTCACACTGTTGGTAGCAGCAAACTCTCTCTGTCCATCCCGCACTTCAGGAACAAACTTTTGCAGTAAGGCCTTCTGTACCTTCCAAATAGCTGGAGGCTCCTTTCCTGTTTGCAAAGCAAGCTGTAAGAACAGAAAATTATTTGCTAATAACAATACTTGTTCTTATCTCATGTGTGTGTTTGTGCACTGTTGGTTGGGTTGTTTTTATTCTTTTGAGCAAGTTATCCAGGGATAAAATGGCAACAGAGGTAATTCAGATTCCAACTGCTTATTACATGCCGTTTTTATTGAGATAGCATGCCATGTGCTACAGTAAGCATAACGGTCTACAGACTTCACCTTCAGAGGGTGAAGCTGTGCCAAACAGCTCTGCCTATGCTCAGGGTCAGAACGAGCAGATCCTGCAACTGAGTCACAAAACTGCAGTTGTTAAAACACGACACTTCCTTAAAATTTGGTGCCCGTTGGCTCTATGAAATACTTTCCTAACAAAAATTCAAAAATCACAACAAGCAGCAAGAAAAGTTTCCATGGTCCCTAGAAATTCCATAGCAGAAGTCTATAGTCTCTATGATATTACAGTGTGGTGCTCATGGTAACATGAAAAAGCAGCATTCAGTACAAATGAGTGAACTGAACTATGCAGCTCAACTTTAATCCCGAATTGACTTTGGAAGACTTTTCTTATTCAAATAATTAAAAAAGAAACAAATTCAGTTGAAAGCAGGTTTGAAATTATTACCTCTAGTGCGAATTTGTAAATTACTAACTCAAAAACTCTTTTTGGAAAACACACAATCAAGTATAGAAGCACTTTCCAAGGACCCTCTAAATAACAAGAAGAAAAAAATCCACCAAACCTGAACTGCTTTATAAATGACAAGAGAACGTTTTCTTTTAAAGCTGGTGGCACTAATTTGATAATGCTACACGAATTAATGTAAAACTTTGGCTTGAGAGGATAAATACAGATAAGCAATAAAAAATACCAGCATGCACTGATTCTAGAATTGCAGGCTATGACAAGATCAAAAGAAAAGGTAAGCATCCACCAGAATGGAAATGGAGTGACAGTAAGAAATAAAAAGGCAATAAGGAACTCTCCTATAAGCTCCTGTGAAAGCTGTACTGGTTGCTTGTGGAAGCCATTTCAATGGAACCACTGAAACCTACAGAGCCATTAAACCTGCACCTCTCCCAAGAACGAAAAAAGACAACTCCAAGAGTGCCCACAAAACAGCGCTATTTTTTCAGCACCTTGGCACTGAGAGCCCAATGCAATCTCAAAAAAAGAAAAGCCTCTCAATAGCCTATGGAAAATTTTTGTTATATTAAAAAATAAAAAAGTAACTTCAAGTTTTAATAGAAGTAACTTCTATTAGACAGAGATTTGCATTATTGTGGATAAAATGGGCGACGTACATTCAAAATATACTCATAACCCATGCTAGAAAGTTACCCTTAAGGTAACTTGGCAGCAAACAGAGCAGAGCAATCTGTAGCCTTCCCCCTTTCAGCAGTTTATTGGAGCTAAGTTAACATAGAGGTCTTCTGGTGCTTTATTTTGGTTGGTTTTTTTCCCCCACGCTCACAGGAAACATTCACATTACCTTTAGTGTCTCTATATCTTCAATCTTCACTACAAATTCATCACGCTCTCTGTACATGCCCTCTCCTCCACTGTCCGTATTCTCCTCCTCAGTACCTCCTTCTATTGCAACAGTCGCCTGGATTTTTGCTAACTGGTCACAGGTCCCAGCATCCTGTTGAGCTGCTTTTAAGGAGTCGGCTGAGCTCATTTTCTCCTGCACACTGACTACAGGAGATGTCATCTGTGGCAATTCCTGCTTTATTGTGGCAGCAGTGGAGGTAGCAGAAACGACTGGCACTTTTTCAGCTTCTGAAGCAAATAAATAAATAAGTTATCAAGAATTAGCAACGTGGATGGGAACTAGATTGCTTTTCTCTGTTACAATACATATTAAAAGCATACATTCTGAGCAACACACCTGTGCGAAGAGCTCCATACGATTGTTTACTTGGTCACAACTCAGCCATTACCAAAATTACAACGTTGTAGCTAATATACCCCTGATTGTATTCAACTCAAATCTATCAGCATCTAGGAATAACAACAAAGAATGCCTCGGGAAAGAACTTTACAGCTACAGGCAGGTCCAACAAAAACACTGCTGTGCTCTGTGTGACAAAACTTACAACTCTGAATGGTGCTTCCAGTCTGCTGGTAGGTAAGGACTTTTTAAACTGGATTAAGGAGAGAGAAATACACATGAACTATGAGAACATTTGCCCTGTAGCTTTTGAACATTCATCAGTTATATCTTGTACTAACGTAACTGGAAGTTTCAGGTTGCAGTTTGGGTAATACCCTGACAACCTGTTAGTGTTAACAGCAGTACTGAGAACTGACAGAAAGAAAATAGAGAGAAGAGAAATAAATTCTTCTCTACATCTCAGTGCCAAAGGAAACTCCCACCCTTCAAAATGATCATTCTTTCCCACCCGAAAAAAAATTAGGACACTGTTAGTTATTACTTAGTACTCTTCTATACACATTAGATTCGACATTTATTTGCTAATCAAAAAGAAATCAAGTTAAATAAGCCACAGGGTAATTACTAATTTCACTAAGCAAACTGCCTTCAAATTTAAGAAGGCCATTTTACGGTTATTTTGCAATGACTGTTAGTTGTTGACTTGTTGAAAACAAACAGAAAAAAAAAGCAACATTTTGATAAAAAATAATAAAACTAAAATATCAAATTATTGCGTCAAATACAGAAGCTGGATACCACATGAAGATTCATTACATCAATTCACTAAAAACTGCTAAGCCATGAAATACTTTCTTCTGCATACATCACGTCCCGTTATTAGAAATATGTTATTTTTATTTGTTCATTGAAGACTCTAACAGCTTTAATAGACACAGCATTATCAGTTCCCCAAGTATATTTACATATTCTTCAGAACAGCAAATAAACACATATGTATACTTCATACTAACCACAGATGACTGCATTTTAATTTTTGTCTTTCCACACTTGTGTGCAAACACAGAGAGGAAGGAGTTACTAGAAATTCTGCAGAACGCCAGCATGTGGGAAAGAAGTCATTATGAAACATCTTGTATTCCGTACAAAGTCTTGTGTACAACAAAACAGGAACTTGATTTAAAGAATCTATAGCATAAATATGCCATCCTTACTAATAATAAAGATATCACAGCAACTGTAAAACAAAGCCTTGCAAATACAAATACCCATGCAACAAAAAAGAAAACAACCTTTGAAATCCTTCCTTCGGAGGCCGTACCCGCAGTTAAGATAATCAGAAAGAGACGTTCAAACCATGGAGCTGTTCAAATTTTGGCTTTCAAGGTGGAAAAAAAAGTCACTGCTTTCTTTTTTAAAATGCTTCTTAAATTGAGAGCTTATTTCTCTTACATTTGCTTGTGCAGTGACGTGATCAACCGGGTAGCCTTTAATTGCTTACCAGAGAAAATGAATTTCACTGACAAGATCTAGTTAGGCAAAAATATGCTGTATGTCAAAAATACCTCAAAACAAATCAGCATCAAATAAAAGCTATGATTGCAGGAAGTGTAACATATAGCACAGATGTAATACAAGTGGAACTGAAAAGCCAAACAAATGGAAAACTGACCAATGCTGTCATTGGTGGTTGCTGTCTGTCCTTCTGCCCAAAGCATTTCTCAGCTTTTGTTCTTCTGCAAGCCACAGATCAACATGAAATACTCCTGATACACTGCTCCTGATTAACACTCCTGATTAACACTGCTGAAATAAACGGGCTCCCATCTCAGACATGGCTAGCTAACTCGGCAGCGCTCAGTTTAAAAGCTTTCAGAAACATTTTCTGTACAGCTGGAGCATCATAGGAAGCAAACATTTAACTCTGCCCAGGAAGAACTTAGCCTTTGCTGACAGCAGTGATTCACTAGTTCTCTTGCTATGAAAATGCATTTAAAACCACTGGATGTGATGGTTTGTTGAGGTTCATGGGTGACAATCACACTGAGCATTCTGAGACAGAGGAGAGAACAGACACCGAATTCCAAGTCTGGGCTAACGTAGTTTTTCAGTATTAGAAGAGTCTTACATAGGCAGCGTGAAAAAATGTACTGACACATTTTCCAACTGTGCACAACATTAGTTTAAGTCATACTCAGCACAGCTTTTGAACACAACTCTTTATGGCTTCAAATGAAAACAAAGTCAGTCAAAACATTTACCTGAATTAAAGATAGCCAAGATTTTTCTTTCCCCATCCCCTTCTCCACCCCGTCAGCTACAGAATCCAGCAACGTATGCACGAGCAGCAACTGTTTTACCTGATTTGTTCTTTCTGTCAGAAGAATCATCCAGGGCTGACAGCGCAGTAGAGATGCTCTTCTGAAGATCGTGGTTACCTCCCACAGAATCATCCTCATCAGAAGAAAATGAAGGCAGTGTTTCTAAATTTTTCTTAAGTTCTTCATCAGCTTTTTTCGTTGGACTTTCTCCAGTGACCTCAGAAGCTGCAGGTGCTGCTGCTGGCATAGGCTTTGTGGGTGACTGCAGGCAAGGGCCACGAACCACGTGGGTAACCGGTCGCCTCGTCCTGTTTGGCATTCGCACAGCCGGAGCTGAAAACTGTTGCCTAGGCCCAGACTTGAGAAAGTCTAAAAAAGATGCAATGAATCCTGTTTTCACTTCAGGCTGTTTTTCCTCAACTTCTTTAATTTTTTGCCTCATTCTTTCCTGATGCTGATACGTATCGTAACAACTTTCAGAAACAGGAGAAGAGTACATCAAACAAGAGTCGTTTCCTCTCGAGTTCTGACGTTTACACTGTCCGCTTCTCTTTACCTGTTTCTGAATTGCACTGTCTTCTTCTGCAGCATTTTTGTTTTGGCTTTTTCCTTTGCTTTTCTTCTTCTGAAGGTTCCCCTGACTTAAATCTTGGCATTCTTCCTCAGCCCCACTTTGGGGCACAGGCAATGATTGCAATGGACCCTTTGACTGGTTACCTGCTACTGTACCATCGTCACCACTCATATTAAAATCATTCTCTGAAGCAGCACTTTCTTCACTTAGACTCTTACCGCTTGAAACAAAGTCTAGGTCTCTGGCATTCAGTGTACCATCAGCAGAAACATTGTTATCCTCTTCCGATTCACGACTGATGCTAGACTGTTTCTTAACTGGGACAGCACTTTGTTCTTGCTCCTCCTGACCAGGGCCAAGCGTGGGAGAGGTCATTCTTGGTACATTTTGATCAGAAGCGTCAATGTGCTGATGATTAAGGTTCACAGCTTTTGTCTGTATTGCTGACACCGGTGTAAGATTTATAGTGATTTGGCCTCCATTAAGAGAAATATTATTTATGCTTGCTGGCTTTCCAACTACAGCAGACGAGGCACTGAAACCAGAAGATACGTGCCTTACATCCATTGATCGGAACTGCGTTTTAGACTCCTCACTGTTTTCAACAGACCGGATCTCCTCTTCGTTAGATGCTGATTTGGCAAAGTCAGATGGTGTCACTCCGCAGGCTGCTGCTGTTGCTGCTAGGATATCATCCACATTGGACAGTATATTCCTCTCATCACTGAGAAGCATAGATTCTGGGAAACATATCGAATTAAGAGAAACAAACTGGTTTTTCGAATCGTGTTGATTTGTCTGAGTAAAATGATCTTTTGTTGCCAAATGTTGCTGTAGTGGTTTTGAGGGCTCAGAAACGTCCATTTTCATTACTTCCGAATTTTGGGTATGAAGCTGTTGCTGAGAATGACCCCCATTGCTCTGAATAACATGTCCATCCATCTGAAGGAACGGATGCGCCACCTGCTGAGGGCTCTGTATTCTTTGCACTTGCGGTGGTACCTTTGCTTGTCCTAAACCCGACTGCAGGATTGACTGATGCAGAATCTGCAAGTCACAGGTTGACTCCAGAAGCACCTGTGCACCAGGCAAACACAGCTGATGACCATGCCTTAAGGCATGGGGCTGCACCTGCGGAGTCGTACTAATGATCTGGCCTTGCTGTTCTGAAGCTTTACTTTCATGTACCTTATGCATAAGAGAATGTTGCTGGTTTAGTTCTTTAGAACTCACATTTACTTGTGCTGATTGCATTAAATTAGCTGTTTTTTTCATATCATGGCTTAAATTAGTGATATGGCCAATATGTTGGGAGAGCTGTTCCACAGTATTAGCCATTCTCTCATCCTTTTTTGCTCCTTGAAGAGTAAGTCCAACAACTTGATCCTCAAGACGAGAGTTACTTCTGATTACGCTTTGAGAGTATCGGTCATCTGCTTTCGTGACCCGATAGGATGCATCCTGAGCACCGATCTCCTCATCGGTTAGCCTTTGGGTGGAAGACTCAAGAGAAGCTTGTCGTTGCAAAGCCTGCATATCCTGCATTGACAACTCTTCCTCTTGCTTTGATGATGCATATAAGTTAGAGTCTGATTTCCTTTTTACGTATGCTTTTGTGTCTGAGGAAGGCCTGCTGTTCTGCAGTGCCTGTGAATGAGCCGGGGATGCAAAAGGAGGAGACTGGACAGATGGCAAAAACTTTTGAGACTGCGGGGAGGAGGATTCTTGCGACTGAGCGTTCTGGGAAGAATGCAAAGAAATATAGCTCTGACTGGGACTTGAGGCTGGAAGAGTCTGTATCCGAGGAGAGGCAGAAAAGGGAAGAGAAGGTGATGTTAATGCTAAAGACTGCCCTGAAGAATAGCTTTCTGAAGGACTAACAGCTGATAAAACTTGTGATTGAGATGAAAAGCTAACTTGGGATTGGCTAACTGGAGATAAACCCTGAGAGTGACTAGAAGAGTAACTCTGAGATTGGCTGACTGAAGAAAGTTCCCTTGTCTGCGGAGAGTAGTTCTCATTTGGAACTGAAGTCAGAACTTGCTCATCTGAGGAGTAACTCAGAGTTTGGCTATCAGAAGTAATAGTTTGTGACTGCCCAGAAAAAGTCAATGTTTTGTACAATGTGGGCAGCTTCTCAACCTTGCTAGATGAGAAATCCTGCGGGTGACTGACAGGTGGCACATTCTGAGCCTGGGAAGAAATATAATTTTGAGACTGGCTGACTGACAACAGACTTGGCAGCTGTGCTGTAGAATAGATCTGTGCTTGGCCTGTGATGACAGAACTCTGGTTTTGTGCAGTTTTAGCATAGCTTTGTGTCTGCACGGGGGGAGCTATGCTCTGAGGTTTGGGGGTCTTCGTTGACCTTGGAGGCTGTTTTGTGGAACAGTTTTTCACTTTTGCTGCAGAAGCAGATGGAAAGCCAGGTGATGGAACTGCAGACGCATAAGACTGAGCAAGTTCCACTGTGACTTGAGAAGTCTTCTGCTGTGGTCCTCCATTGCTCACCTGAGTAACATCTCCAACTGGACTGCAGGATAACGCTGAGTGCCTGCACGTATCCTGAAAATTAATTCCACTTGTACTCGTTAAATAGCTGTGTAAGGAATGCTGTGAGACAGTCAATTGAGCCTGAACAGGCTGAGTACTTGAAGGCCGCTGATGGTGCTTAATAACACTACATTCTCGCTGAAGTGCTCTATCGATAGAAGCCGTGGAACCAGTAAAGACAGATGTGCTGTATGCCTGAGAAACCTGCTGAGCTCCTCCAATGGTTGAAGGCAGCAAACTAAATTGAGGTTGCAAAAGATGGGGTGCAGACTCTTGAGCAGAACGATACGTTGATGACTGAGGTGGTACGCTGGTACTTAAAACAGAACTGCCGAGGCGCTCAAATGTCAAAGCAGCTGGAACAGTGCCTTGTGATGTTTTGATCTGTAATAAAGGATCATGGGTAGTTAAGAGGCCATTTGATGTAGCACTGAAAGTAGTATCTTGAAGAGTAAGAGAAGGAGTAGTAGCAAAGTTTCTACTGCTGAACGTGTTTGGATGCTGATAAGCTGATAAAGCAGATGTTGGTGGAAAGGTTCCAGAGGTTGGCAATGCTCCAGTAACAAATAGTTCTGTGGCTGTTGAGGAATGCATACCTGGAAAGAAACAGAAAACATAAATGGAAAAAGAACGTAAGGGAGCTTTACAAGTTACAACTCTACATTTGGATAACTTATTTCATTGCAAGATCTTAAACACTTTCATATATAACAATCCCTAGAATCAATATGCTTTTCAACAAAAAAAAACATACAAAGAGAAGCACTTACTGTGGGTAATTTCCACAAACAAGAAGTGACGTTCAGCAAGAATTCCAAATTCTATACCTTCAGTGGGTTGCCCATGGAAAGTAACTTGCATCTTTATCATGCAAATTTTGGATTAAAAAATGGTACAAGAACAATTCTGTTTTTAAACTGAAGGCTCTTTCGAGTTCAAAAGGAATTCCTAGTAGAGGACAACTGATTAAAAGCTCTGGACACTTATAATGTAAACAGACAAAATTACATCATACTAATTGTAATACGGAATTAAAAGAGCAATTTCACTCTCTCCAATACTTCTGTAACTCACTTTATACAAAACACCATTTTGGAGCATATAACAGAACAGCTGTATGTAATTCTTAATAGGAAGGCTTTAACTTTCAATAGAATGAATAAATAAATGATTTGTAAGCCTCCTTAAAGGAAAGTTGATGTCTGAGTGAAAGGTTGAAAGGTTGGTCTCAATGATCTCTACAGGCCCCTTCCAACCCTTACAATTCTGTGATTGTGGTACTCCACCATTTATTTGCACCCTAACACTGCTATGACAGACTTGCTTAAATGCTTACTAATAGAATATACAATTACATAACTGAAATGACAGTGTACAACTCCCCTGTAAGCTCTGGTGCTCAGAGCAACAACTCATATCATTCCCTTTATTATCCTGTGACTTGCAGGTACTGGTAAAGTTTATGTACTACTTCTAAAGTATATGAAAGCAAATGAGGAAGGCAGATTTATTTTCAAAGAGGATTATGTTCCTTCCAAAAGAATCTGTAAAGCAATCTCTTTCCACTGAGATATTTACAAATACATGAGAAGTGGAAAAATGTAAAATCTCAGATATAGTTTGACTAATTTCAGTTCTTCTTGGACAATTAAAACAGCTTTTAGTAATGGATTATTGGAGAATAAATGGAACTTTAAAAAATCTGTCAGTAAATAAGGTTTGTCTTGTGACAAATATCTCAGTAAAAAGTTCAATTTCCATTATAAAATACTTCTGCAACTTAATCACAAAATGACTTTGGAAGTGTCAGATGAAACTGCGAAAGAAGGCCTTTGTTCTTTCCAGTTCAAGACGTACAGTGATATGAAGAGATATGACACTGAAGGTATTTTTCGCAAGTCAACAATAAGGTCTTTCTGAGTAAGAAAGTATAAGCAGTGTTTTCATGCATTTCTTTTTCTGCTCTAAGAAACTGCAGCATCACATACAAGTGGGTTCTCACTTTCTGATCACTACCACTACACAAAGGTAGGGGCAGCCAGAGGGCAAAGAAGGGGAACAATTTACTCCTAAATTAACTGTTGATTTTCAGTTCTCTTCCTACTACTGAGAGTGGAAAACTAACCCACCACTGGAGGAAAAAAGAAGAGTGTTTTCTGTCAGATCAGTGAGTAGCTCTCTGTGTAAGATTAAAGCATAACTTGAAGCTACCACAGTTGCAGTGACAATACTTAGCTTGGTGTGGCTGCCTATAGCAAGCTCCAAATATGCAAAGTTTCCTGCTCTGCACAGAAGGCTTGACAGATGGGGGAAGTTTACAGAAGGCGGTCAGTCTGCTATGAAAGATGGCAGATTTGTTTATTTTTGAATTAAACCACTGATCACAATGCAACATGTGCCTCAGACCTGCTTTTTGAGAAAAACCCTGGTCATTACTTGTGTACAAATGGGCTGAAGTTATCCATAGACTTCTAGTGGCTGTACCAATAGAAGAACTATGACAAGGATAGGAGTCTAAGAACGAGAAGTCTGCTAAGGTGTGAGTGAGGCTAATTGCAAACAGAACATCAGATAATGAAATTGAATAATCAGATAACATTAAATCCTGCCCATCTAAACCCCTAAACCCCTCCTAGACATCTTCCGTTAAGAGATAAATATAATTTAACTGATTTTGAGATTTTAAATTTCAAGATGGAAAAGAAGTGGAAAATGTAGCCTTTTCTGGTAGGATATTTTTGTCTTAAATAATCCCAAACGTTCAATCACAGTCACCACAGAATTATATTTCAAGAGAAAATTTTCACCTGTCTGCCAGGAAGGAGCCCTGAATTGTGGCAAAAGGGTAGATCCTGAAGAGGCTGTCTGAGCTGTGCGAGACTCAATTGCAGAGAGAAAATTCATAACTGAAGTTTCCTTAGTGTTACTTCCAGAGGTGTGCATACCAGTATCAAAAATTCCTGAAAGACCTATGTAGGGGCCAGGAGGAAACGAAACAAAATGATTAGACAATTCAGATAAGCTTCTTATAAAAAGCTTAATCAAATAAAAAGGATAACCAGTCGTAGTCCACTAAAAACAACCAATGAAACATTACCAACACTATTAAAGCACATTCATTCTTCACTGTTTTGACTGTTTTGCAGCTTTACATCTGTAAACCGGATCTCAGTGATACATTTTAAAATACCTAATATTAAATGTCTATTAAATATGATGCTCTGAAGTAATATTGAGGTCAATCAATAAATGTTCTCCCTTCATTATGAGATTCGCTGTTTCGCATGTTATTTGCTTAAACATTCAGAATCCTCTCTGAAACGGGTTCAGCTTTCCTGTACTGATCTTTTCTTTTGTCAGCTTCTAGCAGCTTGCACTTCCCTGTGGGACTGGCACCAGAAATGGGGTCTTGGCTTCATTCCTTGTTTCAACAACTGCTATCCATACCCTTTGGTGGCTCGGGGCCGGATGGGAGGTAATGCATAGATTGCAGAGCTTTGAGTAGCTAAAATTCTGTAAAGATTACAGGGTCTGCAGCCTGGAATGTTCGCTGCAATTCCAGTCCCTCATCATGCTGATCAGTCCTGGGCAAGAGCCTGCAAATACCTGCAGACCATAAGCTCACTATCTTTCCCTTGGAAACCGGGTTGCAAAGTGAGGGGTAAGAGACACTACACTACACACGTATATGCACATTCTTAACCTTCCCTCCAGCACTGGGTCTTAATTTGCACATGTAAGTACTTACATCATTACGTTCCTACTTGCATTATTTATTCTATTTGCTTTAGTCTGAAAGAAGTGGCACGACTTCTGCAGCTGGCTTTGAGGCAAACTCAACGTCTGGCCCTTCTGCCTATGACATCATCTGAGTGCAAGAACATAGGACTCACAGTAAGTTACAGAGGAGATCTGCCCCTTACGTTTTCCTTCCTTCTTTGGACATTTGAATAAAAGCTATCAACCGTTAACTTTTTACTACAAAATCAGCTTTCCTTACACCATTTGCTACTACCTGTTTAATAATCCCTCTGATTAAAAAAAATTCATCTTAAAACTAAGTAACTAAACTTTTTTTTTCTCATAATATAGACAATTACCAGTAGGATGGTGCGTAGCAGAGTATCCAGGAAGCTGATGAGAAGCTGTGTATGTCTGTCTATGAAGAAGATCTGTTTCTGAATGTGATGGATGTCCTCCTCCATAGCTTAAGCTAAGGAAGAAATCAAACATTATGAACAAAACCATGCAGCTGCAGAGGAAAGGTACAACTACAACACAATCAAAGCTGACAACAAGAGCACCAGCAAGTGAACAATCGACAGTTTTTGGAAATTAGGCATTTGAATTAACATGTTTTGATCAGGCTTATCTGGAAGCAAGCTGAAGGTAAGTGTCTAAGCTGGTACACAGGCAATAATGCGAGAAATAACGAAATGCAAACTAAACATCGAGCAACATCAGGACCTGGTCAGAAATGCTAATGTTTTCCAACTTAAAAGACCAAAAAAAAGGGCAGAAAGCAAAACAAAATCCCAACACTTTCAAGCTCTGTACAGCACTTCCAAACGGAGAAAGCCTAAGCCAGTACAATTTGCCTTTTGATGTGAAGATTACAGGTAGCTGATACTTCAGTGTTCACATGAGATTGCTTAGGTTCAAAACGCAGCTGTAACCAGACGCCAAAAGACACGAACCACTAAACTCACAGCCCTCCCTGCAGATAGCTGTGAGGGACCTCGCTCACCCTCTGCATCCCCTAGGATGAGGGGGCAGTCACTCTGCACAAGGGAAAATGGGAACATTCGATGCCAGGAATCATGAGATCATGGGAAACTTTCATGGAAGTCACCACATAATATAAAAATTGGCAACACAACTGGATTTACTTCATTTCATTAAGATGACAAGAGTAGGCAGTGGAGATCTGATAAGCCTGAAACAGTACCATGACCTCTACACATTTTCACAGCAGAAGCCAGCCTATAACAGCCTCTTAGGCTTTGAGCTTAGCTTCCAGCCTGGACTGTGCTAACAGCAGACGTCTTCCATCTCATCTGCTCGCAGGATAGGAGTGCTCACATATTCCATATGCCAGGCTAAGGCATTCTTCATTCAGCACATGAAGAATGAAAGATTCTTTAAAGGAGAACGAGAAGCCTCAGGAGTCGCATTGCATCAATTGCACATGCTGACTTTCACAGCAGTAATGTCCTGTTAGAGAAGTGCCAGATCTCAACTCAGAGCGAACACAAAACAACCTCTAGAACTATACCTCAAGAAACTTAACGACAAGAACCTCTACGTTCTAATAAAGCTACTTGAATGAACTTCCTCCTTATTTCTATCGTGAGAATAATCAAAGTGCACGATGACTTTTTATTCTTTACACAAACACCCAGCTCATAGTTAATGCAACCGCAACCTCAAAAACGAGCCTGCCTTTCAATAAAAACACTGTATTTATTAGAACAGTTAATTGTTTATTGTATAATTACTTGTTGCTGGAATGTAGATTCTTATCTCAAAAAGCCTGCATACATGCCTTTAGTTTACATAGGCTTATCCTAAACACAGGCACAGCAATCTGAAAGATTACAGCCTCAGGGTTTCTCCTTATGAAAGTTAACCTTTACACAAATGAACTTGCACGGGCTGTAATTCGCCTATCAAAAACCCACTGAGCACAGCACATAACAGGATGGCCGTCTAGCCTTTCCTACTCTGGTTTCACAGTTTGTTAGAATATCACAGGTGCTCCCGCTTGTACTCAAACTCTGCATTACTTCCTGAAGAAAGCATATTCACGTTTCTGGGCACCTGGTTGGTTATGATTAGTTGCTAGTCAGAGGCCAAATCTATTTCTCTCTAACACTAATCTATCACAGCCTCTCTCTCACTTCCACTGGCATAGTTAAATGCACAGCAGTGACTACGCTGGAAAGCAATACAGAGCTCCCATCACATTGGTAAAGTAGCTCCCTCTGAAAGCATGAAAGCACTGAAAAGGTCCGTTCAGAAGATCAGAGATATCCTAGCTAGAGCTACCGCTTTTTCTTGCTGCTGCAAAGATGCAGTCAAAGCATCCTTGCCAACGAGAGCCAAGTAACTCCAGTATTACTCAGCTACATTGCTTGGTTTGATAGAAGATTTAAGCTATCTAGTAAAATTTATTGAAGAAAGTGTGCATCCTCTGCACTGTACCTGTTAGTAGAATACCTCAACCTTGACTTACAACTCTTTATAATTACCTGCTATTAAGTCTTTCCTGAATCAACTGTTCATGTTATCTTTTTATATTGCTGTTAAGGTAATTTATTGCCACAGCCCTCTTTGGCTTAATGATTTCATACAAATTTAGGTCACCAACTGCAGGAGGTGCTGACTTATACTGCACAAGGCAACCGCCTCAGCTGCCAACACAATTATTTGCTTTATGCTACCAATAAGTGCATTACTTAACTTCAAAATGGAATGGGAGCACCACTTCTGCAAGGAAACAAAATGTATTTGCAATAAGCACTGAAGATAAATAGTAGTCTTCTAAAAACTTGCTTGTTTTCCTCAAACAGCCTTGCTCTGTGCTAAGTATCCATACCCAACAAAGTGCAGACATAAAACCACTTCAAACTAGCACCTTCGCTTACTTCATTCTTTTGTTCTTAGGCAGTTCTAAGTTCTGCCTCTGATTTCAATGAGAACAGCTCCAAAAACTGAAGCCCTGTAAATCACAGGGCATTTTCAAAGTATTCAAACTGTGAAGACTGCTCTGACAGTGAAACTGGACACCCAGAAGATGAGTTGTTTCCAAAACACAGCACAGCTCTCGGGCATAAGAGACTGAAGTCCAAAACAACCAACCCAAACCAGACAAAGAGCAACAACTCGCCACGCATCATTCAGCGATGGGATGCCAGGTAAGCGAGGGAAACAGTGGGATTTCATCTGGGCAGCCCAGCTCTGCCTTACTGAAAACTACAGCAGTGTCCTGACTTGCGGGCAGATGAGCAGGCACACACTCAATTTATAACTCAATCACTCAAGTGATTAAAAATGCACCAGTATCCTCATATGGATGAGGAAATAGCTTAGAACTCACAATTTGCATTCTGACTTGAGATTTATGTGAAATAGGACTCAAGTTAACTCAAGTGTATTTGAATTAAACTATACTTTAAAACCAAAACCACCAGTTCTTAGCCATCTATCCCAAAGCTCAGACACTTTGCAAAGGCATCTCCCTTTGGGTAGCTCTTCAAATAGACAACACTGAGTCCCAGTTAAGAGCTTGAAAGCAAAGCTGCTGAAGTGCCAACTAGCACAGCCCAATTAATTTCTAAATATTAAAAATATTCTTCTAAAAAGATAAATATATATATAGATTCACAACACCCTGTGGAGGCAGAAACAATGGAAACATCGTATTTATTACAGATCCATTACAGATGGAATGGAGGGCCAATGGAAGATGGCACTGGCCTTCAGCTGCCATGCGCTTCTGCTGCCCGCTCTAACAGTGATGGAGTCACAGGACTTTGCCTCAGTCAGTAAAGCAATGCCAGAAGCAGGCATATTTAATCCAAAATCTTGTATTTAAAAAGCAAACAAACAACAGAAAGGAAAACACCAATGACTGAGAAAGCAAAATCATAAAGAACTGAGGTATCTGCCTGGAAAGAAAGCAGCTCCTTAAATGAGTCCAACACGGCTAATAACTTTTTATCAGTGCTGTCCAACTGATAAGCCAACTCACTTCTGAAACTTTAAAAAGCACTTGATACCAATGCAAGGAAAACAAATCCCTGTTCAGTCCACAGACTGGTTTTCTGACTGACTTCAGTGCTCCGTTACTAAGAAATGCATACGATGTGCAATTTTTCACCTCTGCGGGCCAGCCTCAGACATACTAAGAGAAAACCAACAAAAACAAGGCTGCGAGAGCAAAGCTGGCTCAACGCTTTCAAATGCTGGCAGATTCAAGAAAAAATGAAAAGGAGCCAATACCTTGTATCTGCATTCTCTTGGTTCTCTCACTGGACTGTACAAGAGATGACCCTTTATACTTCAAAGTCAACCAATATTTGCACAAATATATATATATATTTCTTTTCAATAGTCTGAAAAAATCATGGTACCCCTGAAGGAAAAAGAATCTGAAGCTTGAAAAACAAAGCCCACCACTGAGAAATTAGGAAAGTACCCCTCAAGTTGATACGTCTTGAAAGGGAATAGGTCAGATGTTACTGCAACCAAGAGCACACATCTATGGCATCTGCCTGACTTGTTTTTGAACTATCACGTAAAAAAAACAAAGAATGAACAACATTTTAAGGCATCTTTAATGCTGTTATCCTGCAAGATAGAAGGCTTCCAGAAAGACAGAAAAAACAGAGTTAGACTTCAATAGTATTATGTTACAGTAAAACGCACAGTCCTGTTCTATTCACAACTTTGCATTCTTAACTTCTAAGATTGTTACAGGCAGTGCATTCAGAGTAGCATATATAAAGCCCTAATCCACTGCACTCCCATTAAAGACAAACTTATAACACAACACTCATTTCCACTTCGACCCACAGCCCCCATGAACACGACTGAGACTGCTGGCGCTCGGACACGGAATGCCTGCAGTACTCACCAGAGGAAACACTCCTTACTTCTTTGCTTTCCAGGGCCAAGGTGACAGCTTCCAAGAACTAAACTCCGAGGCAGGAAATTATACGTAGGTAATTGCTGGAACGAGCACAAGTTTGCACCGTTCACATGATCCCTTCCTTGAACGCATGTCATTTCTTAACAGAGGAAAAGGATTTCACAGCAACAAAGACCTGTCTCCGTCTTATTCCCATGCCAGCATGTCTGACTTATTTATGCTTGAGCCTTCTAGAAAGCAAAGGCAGAATTGCTTCAGGAAAGCAAAAACAGTCTTACTGGCACTCCAATACCTGAGCACAAGTGCTGGCTTGCCTGACTAAGGAACCTGTGGAGTTCTCAGTAACAATTATAAATCTCTTCAGAAAATCACTTAAACTACATCTTGAAGCTACGGATGTGAAAATTCTGATTCCTACAAAAAACAAGCTGTTTCTGAACCTCAGGTGTATGAAAGGACTTCACACACTGCCATATGTTCTCTTTTTAAAGGTACAGATTGTCACCTGAACTTTATTTTTGCAAAAGTCAGCAGAGCGTTATCTGAAGATGTGGCTTAGCTGCATCAATGCCTTATAAAACAGAGAATTCATTCCAGCTCCTGAGATGCTTCCCAACCCTTCTCCTCCCTCTCCGCTACTACAGTGCCATAACTTGTGGTAAGCTAAAGTATTACCTTTCGGGTTCTATTTGATTTCTTATCTTTTTGTTTTCCAATTACATGGAAAAGATAAAGTTGAAGTTGAGATGTTAATCACAAAAGATGGAAGAGATGCAAATACCTCTGTCCTATTGACAGCTATCTTAGGCAACACCTCTCCATCACCACACCTCCAAGCATTTCACAGTCAAATAACCCATGAATTATCTTCTACTTTAAACTAAGGCACACGCACTAAACCACTCAGATTTACAAAGGAGGCCAACACCCAAAAGCAAAGATTTAAGCATCCTGTACTGAAATAACAGTCAATTTTTCAACGTTTCAAAGCTGGTATTTCTAAACCATTGTGAAGCTCAGGCTTTGCATTCCAGAGCCACAGAACTTGCACAGAATTGAGGCAGCTACTCACCACCTACATTTAGGAATGCAAACTGCAATATCCGTGTTCATCTGCACAGCCTATCGTTTGAGGCAACCAAATATACTCTAAGTCTTTTCGCAAGCCTAGATGTTTCCCACACTGGTTTCCCCATCTCACAACACACAGCAGTGGGTAAGCAGCTGACATGACCTCCTTTAGATTCAATAAAGAGGCACCTCTGTGACTAAGACCCCTTCTGTGCTGATGTAGCAGGCGTGCTCAGAAAAGATTTAACACTGTAAAACACATCCTCAAGAGTCCTTTAACGTAAAGAAGACATCAGAGGATGCTGCTCCCCACTTCTACAAGGAAGCTTAGTACAGTCCTTGAAGAAGCGTTCAAGCTAAATTCATCAGTGCTCTCTTCATCTTACAACAGATTGCAATCTGCATTTCCAGTCTTCCCAAGGGGACCCTGCCTAACGCTGTCAGCAGGAGTTCCTATTCATACCACACGAACCCAGTTGCACAAGTACTTCAATGAGAAAAACCTGTGCTGTTCAAAATGGCAGACAAATAGCTGCGTCGTATTTACTGCTCCCTGTATTATGGAGAAACGTCACCCTCTATAACGAGCTCTTGCATTACACCCCAAATCATCATTTTAAGATCTTCTAACTTTCAAGCAGCTTTCTAAACAAAAAAACACAAGTAGTAATAGAGAACAAGATGACACACACACACATTATAAAGTTCTTCTAAATGATGAAAAACCTGTATTTGCTTTTAAAGAGAACAACAGAAGGCAGTTTTGGGGAGGGGAAAAGATCAGAAGGAAATCCCAGCTCTCTTCAGCAGCTCTGAGGATTGGTGACCTTCACATCACCAGCTCCAACAAAAATATGAAGTTATTTGTCAAATGCTTGCTGCCCAGAGGCTTAAGGAGTCAGCCTTCTCTAGGATCACTCTTGGTATAGCAAATACTCACAATCAAGAAAAACTTAGTACAAATGCTATCCCTGGCAGACTCGGTAGAGAACAACAAAATGTGAGAAAGAGATGAATTGAAGGATTATTCGCTGCCTAGCACCAGAATTTTTGACACGAAGAGAGAAAGTAAACAGGATGTGGTGTGAAACACTAAGTTGCCATATTTCTGACAGGGATTTCCTGGTCAGAACGAAGCGCAACACAACACGCAGCACAGGCTGGTACATTCAGTATCTCCACAGAACAGCAGCCGGACCGCACACACGTGCACAGCCCGTTTGTCTGCCTCAGCCCAGATGTCCAAGAGCTTTTAGACAAACTGCCAGACATCTGGAAACACCAGACGAAGGGCCAAAGCTCTCAAACTCTTCTCCTGCAACCTCAGGTGAAAAAGAGGGCTATCTCCAGTGAAATCTAGACATACGACAGCCCTGCGCAGCTCACACAGAGTTATTAAGGAGTAAGTATTCCTTCATATCCTCCTATGTAAAATAGCATTACTCTCAGATAAGTGCGCCTAAGGGTGCCTTTTACCTGCTCAGTGTAATTGGTTACACTTATTCAAGTCCCAGGCAAGCATCAGAGGTAGGCATGTAGAAGGAAGATGAAAAGAAAGGCAACGGGGGCAAAGAAGAGCTTGTCTTAACACATATAGGTTCTCAGTGAACTGCTCTGGAATAAGAAAATCCAAGTACGCAGGTGCTGGTGAATAAAAGCTCCCTACCCGTTCCTTGTAACCCACAGCCAGAGAGGTTTTAAGCACAGGTGTCCATTCACGTGTAACAGCCCATCCGGAGCAAGAAGGCAAGGAAGCAGCGACAGGAGAGGTGACAAAATCAAAACTGGTGAGATCTGCCTCGTAAATCAGTAAATCAGGTAACCGAGAGCTCGGTCCTCTCTGAATGCAGCGCTTTTCTTTGCCTGAAACTTCTCAGAGTTCCCTCCATCACTTGCATGGCACAGCAAGACTCGCCTTGCTGCAGAGGCTGAGCACCGCATGGTGTCCGCATGGCATTCAGAGTTATTTTTGTCCCACTTACGGCCACCAAGGAAGGTCTGAAATGACAGGATTCATGCGCTATCTTTTAACCAGATTTATTTTAAGTGTATGGAATAGGCACTCATCATGCAAAATGACTTTTTGATACGCAGAGTTGTGAACGCTTTGCCTAAGTGCGAAGAAAAAAAAAAAGAAAAAAGAAAATCAAACAATCCAAGGAAAATACCCTTGCGTTGTATAAGAGCTCTCCTTATTGTACAGGGAATAAAACCAGTCAAAGTCCTTTTCTCCTAACGAAGACTTTTCTAAAAACAACCTCCTTCCCATGACAGCATCATGCCAGGATCAACAGCATCTCCAAAGGAACAAAAAAAAGAGGTGGGCGAAAGTACAGAAGAAACAAAGGGAAAAGGTTGTTCTCTGGTGATACAAAAGTAAGTGCTTACACCTAAAGTAACAGGGTGAAAGATAAGATACTCATACCGACTGAGAGACTTTTTGCAAAGGTGAAAGAACACAAAACCCCTTTCTTTCCGAACAAGGAGGTATTAAGTAACCTGCGGTGAAGCTCTCAGCTCCATGGGAAAGAGCTCACATCTGAAATATCACCGTAGGTGACCTCAAGGCGGGCCCAGGGCTTCATGTGGTTCATCTCAGGGAGTTCCTCCCGGGGATCTGGGCAGCAAAGCCTTCTCAGGACACCTGCTGAAGACAGCAGGGCTGCACCCTCAGCTCCTGCAGCGAATAACAAGATGCTTGAAACACCTGGTGTAGTTGGTAGACTCCCAGACAGGTCAGTAGCACAGCATTTCAGAGATGCTCTTTCGGCTCATTCAGTAAGTCCCTCTAAAATACCTGTGCTACTCCACAGATTGATTGCGTATGAATGTTTCCAATACAGACCATGACAGAAAGTTTAGTAATATTTAGAAGTGACTCACCTTGTCATATGTTTTTAAATTTTATTTAATCCTCTTGTGCCTTTATCTTTTCATAGAAAACATTTTAAACACATTCTGTTTATGAGCTTCAGCTTTCTGCAAGTGAAACACCGCACCACAGGGAACTTCTTGTATTACACCTGTTTAGCAACAAACACTGTTTTTACCCCTCAGGAAGTTTCATTTGATTAAAAAAAAAAAAAAAAAAAAAAAGAGAGTTGTATATTTTTCTATATTACCTGCATTTTTAATTTTTATTTTCTACAACTTCTATAGCTATGCACAAATCTACTATCACTGCAGATTGAGCCCTACCAAAGTCACATCTTTACAGCTGTTACAGAAAGTTTGACAGCTATGCAAAAAGGGTAAGTTTAAAAAATAAATAAATCCTAGCAGTGCCTTATAAAAGTTGGAGTCTCGCAGTTACATAACTTTCCCTCTGAACTATCACTAAGCAGTTTGTTATTTTAGATTAGCTGCTATAAATATAGGTCACGCTAACCAAATGTCAGTGCTATCTATTGTAAAGAACCGTCTCAAATTCAGTGCTGTAAAACCCATACGTCTGGGTCGGACAGAGACGGACACAGACTGCCAGCACAGAAGAAACACCAGAGACCACAGCGGTTGCCATCAAGCTTAAAATAACAAATAACTGGGACTGTCATTCAGCCACACACAACACAGGGTCAGGTCCTAGAGCTGGGCTAACACCAAAGGAGAGCAATTAGCAAAAATCCTTCTCCGAATGGAAACAAGAGGGCTCGCCAAGTCGGGCATGTACTCAACCAGGAACTCATCATCATTATCGCCTTTCTGCATTTCTCCTTCCAACTAATTATGACAGTCTCACCAACTACTACACAGCCATTATGGTTTTCTGAAGACCGTGTTTTTCCTCAAGCGAGTAACAAATCAATCTGCTGCTCAATACGGGACTGTACAACCAAAGAGACAGCATCAGTGCAGAAATCAGGTTTCCTAAGAGATAAAGGGCATGAGCAGCGTTGTTCTGCAGGAATTCCTTCCAGCTGCAAACAGACAGCATAAAAAGCAGGGGGAAAATGGGGAGCATGGAGGACAGGAGTGCCCATCTCAGCCCTCCTGCTCTGGGCTGCTTTGATTGCGCTGCCCAAGCGCTCCCCAGTGCGACTGAGCTCTTCTCAGCTAATGAAGAGGTTCCAGTGATTTCCATTCTCATTCATTGACTTCTATTTACTCCAGGATAAGCTATGTCACAGCAGACCTGGTAACGGTGTCCTTACAATACTCCACCGCAAGCTTCCTTCAATAGGAGCAGTGCCACTGCACAGACAAAACAGTGCCTGCAAGAAATAAGGAGCAGGATAAAAACCAGATGGCTGAAGTTAAGTACAGGACGACAGAAGCAAGGCTTGTAGGGAGGAGAAATCATTTTGATGAGCCACGACTGTGAACACGGCTCTGCACACAAAGGGAACGCAGCCTGCCACAACACAGCCTGCACCAGCATAAATATCAGGACAGCCTGACGGAAATACTGCTGCCTGTACCACCTGAAGGCCACGTTCTCTTCAGACAAGGACCAGATGAACACGGCACACATTTTTGTGATTTAACAGCAGATGAACACAGCTTCAGCTGTTCAGATGACTACCTGTCAGCCACAATCAAAACCAGCGTTTGGAACATGGTGAAGCAATCTACAACAATGCAAACCGGAGCGCTCGAGCTCTGTCCCAGCACACCAGCACCTACACAACCCGCTTCCAGCCTCACCAGTGACCAGCATGGCTCTGAGGTCCCAGCTCCCCACCTCGCCGTGGAGAATAGCAGTGGGAGCGAGAACAGAAACACCTGTGCACACTGAGACTGTATTTAGCACTGTCCCCAAGGCAGTTTACATCCTACTGCATTTGAAATCTTACCATACAACATGAACCCTACATAAGAACTCACTACAAGAGAACTTCAAGTACGCTGTAATTCAGGCTTTTTTTCCCTGACACTGCTGCAGCTTAAGAAAGAAAACACAATCAACTTAAAACATTGGAGTCAATACCTTTAAAAACATACCGTTTATCACCATCTACATAGCCTCAAGATGAAACTTTTAGGAACTGAAAGCAAGATCTCCTTGACATTGCTTCCTAAAGCACAGCAAAAATATTGTCATATTAGAATGCATTCAGTAATTCTAATTTGATTATTTTTTTTATTAGCAGGCTGAGCGTTATAGGTAGCAGGCAACGATCCCGTAAGCTTGTGTGAGGAACTCGTCTTGAGACTGCTCTCCATACCATTTCCATAAAGGAATTTCCAAAATAAAAAACTGATAATGCTTTAAAGTAGCACCTATTAAAAAGATTTAAGTCATGTTTTGAAAGCAGGGTGGTTGTTTTTCGGAACGCAGGAACCAATCATCAAGCACTTGTGTATCTTCAAAGACCCTGGAGGGATCCAGGGTTTCTCTGCACTACAGATTCTTAACTGACCTGGAAAATACAAAGCTTCTTCATGGAACAGATGACATGATCCTCCACAGATGCTGAAAACTGGCAAGAGCAATACAAAAAGGGCATGTCGCTGACTACCGCTGCAGCCAACATATTAACATGACTAAGAGGAGCCCAACGATTAAAAAGGAAGATGAAACAGAGCAGTGGGAGATTCTATTTTACCACGCTGGCAACTTTGAAAGGACCAAAGCAGCTTCATAGGGCCAGGTTGTGGCCAGGAACCCAACACTCCTTGCAGTTCTCTGCGAAACGGAGAACCTGGAGCCTCAGGCCACACAAAGATCTTCTTGACATCGATTTAATTGCTTAAAAAATGCACTGTCTGCAGTTCAAGGAGAATGACAATATATTGGAGGGCACCCAGGAGAAAACAAAATAAATGAAGTTTAAAAAAAAAAAAAAAAAAAAAAGAGAGAGAAAAGAATGCCTGGTAACAAACGTCAGAAAATTATTTTTCTTAATGAGAATGTAACACAGAAAATGGATGAAAACTCTGAAGAATTCCTATTTGGGAAAGCATGACTTACCATAGGACTTCCAGCATCAATAGGACCATAACAAGATTTGGAGCTGAAAACTGAAGGCAGCCACCTTCAACTCAGGGATAAGAAAAGAAACGTAGAGCAGGCAGGTCTGGGCTGCATTGGAACCGGCTGCTCAGAGGGGCCGCGGAGTCTCCTTCCCTGGAGACATTCAAGACCCACTCGGGTCCTCTCCTGTCCAACCTGCCATCGCAGGGGCTGGGACTCGACGATCTGCAGAGGTCTCCTTCAACACCTACGGGTTGCAGAGCCCAACGACTCTGCAAATTCACGAGGAATTTGTAACCCTAACCTTCTAAAGCTTAAACTCTAGCTTCAAACGCAGAGGGAAACAACAAAAAGAAGCGCCGCGACCGGCATGACGAGCGCGGCAGTCCTCAACCCGACGCCCCGTTCATCTCACCGCACGGACCGAACCGCGGCGCCCGCAGCTCCGCAGCTCCACGCACACCTAACCGACAGGCAGCTTTCCGCGCTCGCGACGCCGTTTGCCTTCACGCCGCGCCGCACAGAGCGGCACCGCAGCTCCAGCAGCGCGGATCTCGGCGCCCAACAGAGGCTCCTTCCAGCCGGCGGAGCTGTGCCCTCGGGGAGCAGCGCAAGGCCGACGCGACGGCCCGGCTATCCCCGCGCTTCCCGGAACTCCACCAACTCTCCGTCGGCGCTCCCGGCCGGTCTGGCGGCGGGGCGGCCCGCAGGCAGCGCGGGAGGCGGCGGGCACACGGACGGACGGACGGACGGGCGGGCGGGCTGGCGGGAGCGTGGCTCGCGCGGCCGGGCCGAGGTCACCGCTCCGCATTGTTCCCGCTCCGCTCCGCGCCCGGCCCGGCCGGCGCCGCCTGAACTCTTGAACCCGCGGCGCCACAGCCCAGCGCGAGCCTCCGGGGCGGAGAACGGCGACGGCGGCGCGCCCCGCTCGGGCAGCCCGCCCCGCCGAGGGGCCCCGCTCCCAGCCGCGGGGCCGGGCCCGGACCGAGGCCTTTCCCGCCGCGTCCCCCCGGCGGCCGTTACTCACCTGGGCTTCGGGCCGCCGGCGCCCCGCTCGTAGGCCCAGGCGGCGGCGGGCTGCGCGGCGGCCGGGGCCGGCGGCTCGGCGAAGCTGGGGGTCGGCGGGTAGTTCCTGTCCATCATCGGGGCAGGGCGCGGGGCGGCGGGGGCTCGGCGGGGCCCTTCGCGAAGGGCGGCGGCGGCGGGGAGCGAGCGGGGCGGGTGGGAGCGGCCCCCCCTGCCTCATGCGGGGCGGGCGGCGCCGCGGCCCCCTCCCCGCCGCGGGCCAGGCCGCCGCGGCCCGGCCTCCCCTCCCCGCCTCCGCTCCCCTCCCTGCCGCTCAGCCGCGCGGAGCCGCGGGCGGCGGCGGGGGCTGCGCGGCGGGCGGGCGGGGACCCATGTCGGGCCGCTCCTTCCCAGGATGCACCTCCCGCCACGGCCCGCCGCGGGGAGCTGAGCGGGGCCCGGATCCGCGGTCGAGGGGCTGGGAGGAGCGCGGCGAGCGGGGACGCGCGGCCTGGCGGGGTGGCCGGGCCGGGCCCGGAGGGTGCGGGGAGCGCGGCGGGGGATGGCGGCCGGCACCGGGCCGGGCGTGAGGAGGGGGAGGGGGGGGGAAGAGAGGACGGCCGAAGGCGGGGACGGCCGGGCCGGGTGGCGAGGGGAGAGGCCGGCGGCGGCAGCGGCGCGGCGGGGCCGCGTCGAGCGGAGCGCTGGGGCTTTGTTGGAGGGGCCGGGGCGGGGCCATCTTGTTCTCGCTGAGAGAAGCGGCGCTCCGCGGCGTGGCGTCAGCGCCGGGCACCGCCGAGACGCGGGGCGCCGCGGCCACCTGAGCGCCGCCTCAGAGCGCGAGGCGCGGGGCCCGGCGGCGTTCCCGCCTGAGGCTAACACCACACAACCGCCCGCGGGCGCGCGGCAATCCGCGCTGCACCCTGAGGGCACCGCCGGCGGCGGGCACGTGACTGCGGCACGTGACCTGCGACCGCCTCCCCCCGCGGAAAAATTGAATCCAGCCGGGGGGGGGCTGGTGAAATGTGGTTTGTGAGCGTGTGCTTTCGAGGCTGTTCTGGTGGGTCGAGGGAGCGGGGATCGCTGAGCGCGGTAAGGAGGAGTTTCTAGCGAGGTGCTGCGGATTTCTGCGGCTCCTTGAAAGGAGGTTGTGGTGAGGTGGAGGTCAGCCTCTTATCATAGCATCACAGCATGGTCTGGATTGCAAAGGAGCACAGCGCTCATCCAGTTCCAACCCCTGCTGTGTGCAGGTCGCCAACCAGCAGCCCAGGCTGCCCAGAGCCACATCCAGCCTGGCCTCGAATGCCTGCAGGGATGGGGCATCCACAGCCTCCTTGGGCAACCTGTGCCAGTGCCTCACCACCCTCTGGGGGAAAAACTTCCTCCTCATATCCAACCTAAACCTCCCCTGTCTCAGTTTAAAAGCATTCCCCCTTGTCCTATCACTGCCCACCCTGATAAACAGCTGTTCCCCTTCCTGTTTATACACTCTTCAAGTACTGGAAGGCCACAATGAGGTGTACTCAGGGCCTTCTTGTTCTGGGTAACGGTGTTAGGGCAGGGGCATTCAGGCTGGGTCTTAAGAATAGTTGCTTCTCAGAAGGAGCAGTCAGTTGTTGGAGCAGGCTGCCCAGGGAGTCACCGTCCCTAGAGATATTGACTGAGAAGGCAGATGTAGTGCTTAGGGACAAGTTTTAGTGGGCGTGATGGGGATGGGTTGGGATAGGACTAGATCATCTTATGTGTGTTTTTTAGCCTCAATGATTCTATGAATGTGACACAGGATGAGATGTGCTGAGGCAGGCAGGAGGAGAACAAGGCCCCAGGGTGAGGGTTGCTTGCTGTGGATGAAGGTGAGGGAGCACCTGAAGGCTTCTGTACTGCTCAAAAGACAGAGATGTGTGCTGGTGGCTGAGTAAGGCTTCTGAAGGTTCACTTTGTAGCACTTGAGGCAATGTCAAACCACAGGGTTTTGCAGGGAAATGCAGGCAGGAGAAACTTTTGCCTGCAGCTAACCAGATTAGACATGTGATATAAATCAGCATCTCAACATGTGAACGGAGTAGAGGGAGTGCTTAGTGGGAAAGCTGTTATCTAGGAGATTTCAGGAGGAAAAGCTGAGGTTCTGATTTTCTCGTTCCCAGATTCAAGAAGCAGCAAGGCCAGTGTGGGGAGGGCAGGTGAGTGCCAACACTGCTTAGAAAAGGCTGAGGAGAAGCACAGAGAGGCCAGGGCATAGGGAGGAGAGCAGAGTAGATCATGCCACCGATAGACCAGCAGAGTGAGTTTTCCTTGTTTGTGTGAGTGAGCTCCTGCACTGCTTGCAGCAGGGACCTTTCCCTGGGAAGCACAGCCAGTCACTGTTTTACATGCAGAAAATGCCTTATGCTGCTGGAGAAACACCTGTGCTGCTGATGCCCTGAAAGTAGCTTTGTGGGGAGGACACTTAGATGTTCTTGCAGGATGTCTGCACATCACCATTACAATAGTCACCTGGAGTTCCCCGTTTCCTTCAGATGGAAGGGGTGATAGGTGTGTGCAGGTGGAGCCCCGTGCACTCAGCTGTAGGGTTGGTCAGAGGGATGGTGGTGATGTAAAAGCTTCTTGCTGCAATCTGGGACAAGGTAGTAATAAACTGTAAAACTACCAGTGCTGTGTTGAATTTTTCTCAGTTAAGGACATGAGCCTTAAAGCATGTGTATTTTCTTTACAGATTATTTCCCTAGAGAGGGGTGTATGTTAATACTGATACATAACTATAAAATCCTATCGCATAAGACATTCCAGGAACAAAGATCAGTTGAGATCTATAGGCAGGGAAAAGAGGCTCACTTAGTCTGAGCTAACTATCTAAGTATCATTATGCTACAAACACAACTGAGAACATCACCACCAGTGTTTGTAAACACCACCTAAAGCCCTGTTATCCCATAGTCTGCATTTCCTGTGTCTGAGAGGCAATTGAATTCTGAGGTACCTGGGAGACTCCTACCTTTTTCTCATCCAACTGATCCCTGTTCTTGTTGCTATTCTTAGAAAGTTCAATTGAAGTGTGCGTTAAGATGTGTATTAAAATTCTAGACAGTTTCATGATTCTGAATATTAGCTGGAAATGTTTCAATTCTTGCATTCACGAGGAAGGCATCGGTTTTGAAAGCAACTACTGCTTGACTCTGAGAAGCTGACCTTCGGTGGGCTTTAATGCATCCAGGGCTGTAGCTCATAACTGATCATACTATGTGTGTTTTTTAATCAAGTATTTAAGTATGTTTTTCTGAAAAACAAGCTATTATGAGTAAGATCTTAAATTACAGCGCAGTAATGCAATCTGTGCAGCTTAGCAGCCGGGGGAGCGCTGAATTTCTGTTGCTTGTTCTTCTCCCTGAACAAAGTAGTCTCCAATTGGAAAAATAGTGCATCTTCTGGAGATGTAAAATTGTCATTTGGTGGTCAGGAGGCACATAAGCACAGATTTATGTACTTAAGGTGATATGGAGGCTGTGCCTGATGTCCAGGGGGTGTGCTTCAAAGCTGCAACTGCTTGCTGGCAAGGATACCTTGTCCCAGCAGGACAAGGATGCTCACAAAAGGAGAAGGCCTTCCCCTTCCCTTCTTCCTTCTCTGCTCCATCATCCTGTCCCCAGACATTCACTCTGGTCACAAAGTGAGCTGTAAATTCACTCCTCTGGCAAAAGAACATTTTTTTTTGCCAGGTCACTTTCCAGTAATTCCACTGAGCTGAGCCAGCTTGTTTTGCGTCACACAAATAGTGGTTCAGGGCAAGGAGTGGTACTGCACAGCCAGAAGCAGGTGGGAGAGGAAGGACGTGACGAGAAAAAGCAGGAAGCTTGCTCTTGATGACAAGATGTTGAGGTGGCTCATGTTGTGTTCAGTATAGGAATCTCTGTACTGAGTGCTGGAGAGTATGTCTCCAAGCTTAGCCTATGCTTAGCCAGAATCAAGGCAGCACTGGCAGGACTGTAAGCTAATATACCTGCCCTTTTCTTTAACCTAATGGTACATAATGCTTGAAGGCAGTGTCACTTTAGTTTTATCTTTAAAGTGGCCATTTGCCAAATGAAATGTAGGATCCAAGTAATGGGGAGTTTCGGTCACTGTCATCAAAATTTTGATTTGGCAGTAATTAGTCATAAAAATCTGATTTGGTCATAATTAAGATCAGTAAGTCAGTCACAGATCCAGGGCCAGAATAAAGCACCACCTTACATTTTTTTGTAACCAATTTATTGACTTATTTGTTTCTCAGTGCTGTTAGCACCTATGTTAATGCATCTGCTGAGTGTGATCAAGTGTTTTCCTATTGTATCTGGCCCGGCAGAATGTTCCCTGGTATGTACAGCCTGAACAGTCCACAGATGTCAAATACCAGGACAGCCCCACTCGGGGCCTTTGTGCACGAGGCAGCAGGTGGTACTGAATGGAGCAATTCTTCTCAGGGCCAGCAGTTGCTGCCTGCGTTTTTGGCATCCCTTTAACTGCAGGTACAGTGAACCTGGCTCTACCAGGCTTTTCCAGTGTCTGTCCACAAACACTGCCTTCTTTTACAGAGAGCACTGCTTCTGTCCTGTGCCTTTCCATAACAGAAGGCGCCTGGTTTTGCTCCTATCTCAGCTTTTCCCACGTGTTTAACCAGAGACTTTTCTTTTTTTTTCTTTTTCTTGCATGAAGAAGTTTTCAATGTAGCTGTTGCTTTTGCAGCAAAATGATTGATTTGCCGTAGGGCAATTTGGATGCTCTGAGAAGAGTCATGGCAAAAGCATGGAGTCAGAGGCACACGCTGGATCAGCGAGCTGACCAGCAGCTTCAGCTGCTCAGCAGAGAAAGTGGTTAAAGCCCAGCACGCAGCTAATTCTGCAAGTCTGAGCTTATGACAGAGTTGGTGGAAGTGGACGAAAGGATCATATTTCAGACCATGATAGTGCTTTATTCTGGAGCTATCACAGCATCCTAAATAGCTCGCTGACATACACAGACGTCTTGGTGGCTGCTTACAGTGACTAACGCTTTTCCATTTGCCAGCAAACACTCTGGAAGTGCTCAGCAATTAGCCTTATCCCGAGAGAATGGGCTTTGAAGATTGATGGAAGTGGCGTTTCGGAGACTTGTGGACATTTTTATGAAAGTTAATGTTCCATGATTAAAAATATCCAAATAATGTGAGTATGTGCGACCAGATGAAGTTTGAAGAAGTTTGGGCCAAAGCTGAGCTGGGACTGATTAACAGATTTTGAAAAGAGTGCAGGATAAAATTTCTGAGGCTTCTTTCTTCTCCGTTGAACAGACATTAGGTATGGGTTTATAGAACATGGATATAGGGCCTTAGTGTGGACTCTGTGTAGGGGGACGTGCTGCCAAGCTCCCGTATCTTCCATTAGAAGTAAAGAGAAGTGCATCAGGTGTTAGGCTGGACAATCACGAGTCTTTTCAAGCCTATTACTGATCTTTGCTCTTTTAGGTGCAATTGTGACTGTGATCCTGATCAAAGCAGAAAATTGCAGTCACTTAACAGATTAGATTTTGCATTTTACTTGGCACTTGGCCTGTTGAAATGTCGAACTGGACACTAGTAGATGTGTAAATAGGGAAGAAATTGCTGCCTTTCAAAGAGCACACTTTATCCAGGAGCCTCAGGGCAAGTACTCTTTGCATTTCTTTATGTTCAGTGCCTTTATTTGATTAAAAAAAAAAAAAAAAAAGCTTGGGTATAATCTCAAACAAAGGAATCACAATCTTCAGGAAGATAACTGAAGTTGAGCTACAAAATTATGGCACTGGAGGTGTGAGCTGGCACAAAGCACACTGTGCCAATGAGAACAAAGTCCTTCCTTTTCCCAGTCCCCCTCCTGCTCACGTGGTTCCACAACTGCTCACACTGGAGCTAGTTCAACCCACGTACCCCTTTTGTTTCTGCTGGATGAGTGTGTTCAAATTTATGAACTATGATTTAGAAGTTGTGCAAGGCCAGTGGGAGAAATGCAGTGAGATTTAGGAAAAAAGGCAATTTAAATAAAAGCCTTTGCTCTCAAACAAGCTCGTGATCTGACAAGGAGTATTTTAACTCTTACCAGAAACCATCCTTTGTATCGCATCCAAGCTAAGTGTTTACCATGAAGTACTGGGCATTCAATTACCAATATTTGTTTAGTAGGCTTTGGAGAATTGGAGAATTTCACTGAAGGTGTTTGAACAACCTGGGTGATCAGAGGCATTTCTTATTCCTTAAATGAAATTGGCACTGCATCAGAAGTTTAAAACCTGAGGTTCTGAGGTCTTTCCAAAACACACCGATTTCTAGACAGAAGTATTTTTTCTGATACGTCCGTGTGCCTGGCTTAATGTAATGAACCTACACCCCACCAGTCGTATTCTGGGTCTCAGTTCAGTTGACTGCTTTGTTGTATCTTTGAATCTTTGCTATGCTCTGAGTTTTTAACCAGCTTGTTCAGTTCGTCTTGTGTGGTTAGAAGTACAAATCTAGCTGTTTTATTTCTGCTGTGGGTGAAAGAGAGTGGTTTAATTTAGTGCAATCACGCAGTCAATTTGTTTGTTTGTTTTCCTGTAAAGTTACTCTGCACCATGCTGTGCCTTGGGAGCTGCACACATGTGCAACTTGGCAAGTTGCTCCCCGCGTTCAGTGCATACCTTCTTCAGTCTGAACTCACTATTACTGAACAAGGAAGTTCTCTTCCTGTTTTGCTTTTGCACACCTGTTTTGGTGCTCTCTGATGTGATCTTGCTCACTTCACTAACCGTAAGAAAGTGGGCGTTTTTTTTGCCATGTCAGTGTTTTGAAGCTTCCAACCAAAGAGCTGGTGAGAATCAGAAGAAGGTGGAAGGGTACACAACCTCGTCCAGTCCTGAAGACTTCATGTACAGAGCCTGTTGTTCACCATTCAGAGTGGTGAAGTGGGAAGTTTTTGTTAAGAGAAAACAAACCATGTCATCTCCCCACTGACAGGGGCTCTACAGCACAGCAAAGAGTTGATTTTTTTAAAAACTTTATCATAGGCTGAATTAAATTCCAAGAAATGTGCAGATGTTTATTGGAAACCGTTTTGCAAGAGAATAGAGACTAGCAGTGTTTTAACTATTGCTGCCTCTCCCCCTGAAATGCCAGCACTTAAAGTTGGAATGAAAAGATAACTAGGGCAAGTGCATTCAAAAGGCTGTGTCGGGTGGGCAGAGGGAGGGCTGAAATGTATGAAGTCACAAGAACCAAACACACAGCTCAGAGACTGCTGCAAGCAGAAGCTACCACTGAATGAAGAGCACGGCATTTGTGGAGATGCGCTGAACGCATCTGAGGGGAAAAGATGAAATTTCTTAACTGTGAGAATGATGCAGGGATAAATTTGTACAGTACGAGAATGAATATATTTCCAACGCAAAGAGAATGAACTTGAAGTGTCTGATAGATGAGTTTCACACCTGGGGTTTCTTTCCTGTTCTTCCCCGCATGGAACTAGTGAGGATAGCAGCAGTAAAACTTCTGTTGGTGGGGAGGTTTTAAATAAACCAGACTTTTTGCGGTTTTTAATGTTAGCAGGCATCAGCAGGACAACAGAATAATATTTAAATCAGGTTTGGGAACAGCATTGTTTTTAAATAACGTGGCAGCACAGTACATTTTTATTAACAGAAGCGACCAGTTCTTACATTTCTGGCTCCAATCCCAGAGCAGTTGAAGCCAATAAAAAAGATTGCTGTAGACTTCGATAGAACCAGAGTCAAATGCTTCATGACTCACATTTTCCTGACCTGCAGTGAGGAAATACACTTCCACGTGGCACTTTGTTTTTGTTCTTCCAGTGAATTCACACGTGCACACACACCCACTTACTCATGAAAAACCTAAAACATGTAATGTTTATAATGTTGCTCATCAGAGCATTTGAGAAATGAAATAGTAGGCTCTCTTGTTTTGCTGATGCAGAAAACACGTTAAGTGACTTATTTTTACGTTGGCAGAGTTGGAGGCTACTTTTGTGAGCCTCAGTTATTTGCTGTAAGTGATCACCTGTCCACATTTGTAAGAGGTTGCATGATGTAACCCTGTATGATGTCGAAAGGACAACACGGAAACTGAGTTTTGGGAAATGGGCCAAGGTGATGGCTAAGAGCATTGAAGTGCTGCGACATGTTTGGACCTGTTCTGAGAGAAATGAAGTACAGTGTAGTTTTTCCTCAGAATCTCATTTAGAAAACAGGCAACGAGTGAACTGCTTGGGAATTCTTTCCCCACCTAAGATGAGATAAGCTTAAGTTGTGCTTATTTTAATGATATATGTCCTTTGCAAATTGCTACGTTGCACATAACACATAACCACTATCTGAATGTCAGCCTGCATATCTTCAGTACCTTCAGGATCTGAACTGCAGATTTGCTGATTACATACGAAGTGTTACGCTCTACAGAAGGTGGAGTTTTTGCAGTTTCTGTACTATTTCTGTAGTTTAATTGCTAAAGAATCTGAACTTTCATGAGCCCTGTGAAACCCTCTCTTTAAAAGTGCTGCTAACACTTCCATTTAATTTATATTTGTCATTCTTCCTGTCTCTTCCAAAGGCCCACAGTACTCTACTTGTTTGGTATTCTCTAAATAACAAGCTAGAGCATCAAAATCACAGAAGCACAAAATGGACCAGGTTGGAAGGGACCTCAAGGATCACGAATCTCTAATCCCCTGCCACACGCAGGGCCACCAACCTCCACATTTCATAGCAGCCCAGGCTGCCCAGGGCCCCATCCAACCCAGCCTTGAACACCTCCAGGGATGGATGGGGCATCACAGCCTCTCTGGGCAGCTGTTCCAGCCCCTCACCACTCTCGTAATAAAGAACTTAAAAAAGCTTTTGATTAACATACATTTTTGTTGAGTGTGCAATGTGCCATGCAACTAATTACTCTTTTTAATCCAAAATAATAATCACAAAAATACATCAAATTAAGTAATGTTTACCAGCAAAGTCTAAAACGAACCACTGTAATCCAGAAGCAGAAATATATTCACACTTGCAAGATAAACTCATCGCATGATTTTCATACTCAAATCTATTACTAGAATGAATAGAAAATCCACACAGCAGCAATGTCAAACAACACAGCAGACTTATGATGATGACTGAAAGTATTAAGTCACCAAAAAATGGTTACTGTCAATAAAACCAATTAAAATAATGTTCCTTCTAAAGAAACAAGATAAAACTATTAATAAAACATCAATAATATGATGGCATGGCTCAAAGTGCGTGTGGAAGAGGGGCAGTACAAGACTTACTCTTTATACATTCTCTCTTCTTAAAGAAACACCCTTGTGCAAAGAATGGTTCTGCAGCTTTTGCAACAGTTCACTCTCCCGAGGGGATCTTGATTTGCTCCTAGCTGTGCTAACAATCTTTCACATTTCTGTAAACCATCTTGCAATATGCAAGGTAGTGAACTTTTTAAAAGTTTGTTATACCTGAATGATCCCTCCTCCCTTCAGGAGGAGGTTTGTAGCTAAGGGGCAGGAAGCGACATAGACTTCCTAAATGCCCGTACCCATTTTGGGGGCCCTGGGTAGGGGGGCGGAGGTGCGTCATGTTGCCCGCCTGAAGTAATTGCTTGCTCATAAGTTGGTAGTCCTGAATCATCAGGTCTGGGAGGAAGTGGATTTAAAGAAAGTTCTTCGTGCCTTCTGAAGATGGAAGTCGAACTACGTCTTCTGCTTCTTCCATGATCCAAATGCCTAAGTGACATCAACAGCATTCATAAACAGTGGCTTTTGTTTTAACAAGGAAACAAAGAAGTCATCACTCTTGCAAAATTAAAAAACCCAAACAAACAAAACCCCAAACAAAACAAACACCCTTGCCCTTAATGATCAGAAACACCAGAATCCAAATATTCTCTTCAAGCTACACTGTAGGAATAGTTCATTAAATTTACAGGGAGAAGAGAGCAGAGAGTCCTCTTGTGCTCCTTGAATTTTATGATGAAGGAACGATCAGGGCTAGAGAATTAGCAGAGAAGTATTTTCTCCAACCTAATTCTTTTCACATCTGACATGGAGTATATGCTCCTTATGGCATGAAATCTACTTTTAAGCGTGAAATAAAACACATTAGACCTTCCATTGTAGGCCCCAACCTATTAAGTGATGCTGTATTTCAGTGTTTTGGATCTAAGATGACACACACAAAACAAACAAACAAAAAAAACAATGACCAGAAGTTATGTCAGCCATGCAAGTGCTGTTCTGCTGCTCTATGCTTATGTGTTACTGATTAACTTCAGAGTAACTAGTGCTTACCATTGTAATTTTGCTTCCAGGAAAGTCAGAAGTTTCCTACTGGCTTCCCCGAGGACACAGTCAGACCAACCACTAGTGGTTTTTAAATGCCACCCTCAGAGACCAAACTGCTTGTCTTGCTTTTAAGCAATGAAATTCCTTACCCTGGTGGTTGCCTTGATTTACATCTATCTTTGCAGCAGTAGAAGATAAGTAGTCCAATTATGGCTAACATTCCTCCAGCAGCAATCGGACCGATTAGAAGTCCTGTAACATTTATTTTTTGTAGTGTTTCATCACCTGAAAATAAAACATGGGCTATTTTCAGATAGGGTTCTTTCTGTGTTCTTGACAGTTTACACTGTGAAGAACTATTCTTCTTGTGCTGTTCTTTGTCACAAATGTCTAGCTTGCTCTGAGAAACCATGATATCTGTGCAATCCAAGCTAAGATTGCTGTTCACGTTCATCTTAAAGCAAGTGAGCAGACGTTTCCTTTCCTGTACGTGAAACTTTGAAGATGTCTTTCCTCCAGTGCCTTCCAAATAATATTTCATGTACTTGTGACCTTGACTGAGTTGTAGATCTGCTCTCTGAATGCAGGATGTATTAGAATAAACATAAAATACTGCAATATGAGAAAAGAAGAAAAGGGTTTCTTACCTGTTTTTATTCTAGGGCCTTTAGTTGAATAGTCGTTCCAAAACTGTGTCTTTAAAAATACAAAGGAGCAGATGTTAAAAAGATCCATAATTGGCTTATTGACCATTTTTTTCAATGCAGAACTGTAGCAAAATTCAGCAGCAGCATGAATGGAAGCAACTCTTGCTGAAGGATTTGAACTTGCTTATCCCAGCATATTTTTGTCATACGCTCAAGTTTGCATAAAAACTGCAACTTCAGAAAGACGATAATACCAGATCTGAACAACAGAACTGCATTAACTGTCTGATGTTAGCTCATACAGAGATATTTTTGCCTGATTACAGCAAAGGCTAGCACATATTTTGATACAAAAAACGCCTGCAGTTAACCTTTGTAAATCCCTACAAAAGAGTAAAGCAAGTTCTTAAGAATCAGACATTTGCATGAACAGCATTTGAATTCATATTAGAGAAAAACATTTATGTTGCATGATTGCTGTACAGCAGCATTTAGCCTTGATTATTTGATAGACAGCAAAAAACTCCAGCAAGATTCTGATCTAATGCTTTCACAATTGCAAACCAACATTTTCAACTTCAGGTATTTCCTGCCCTTTCTGAGTTAGGGCAGAGCACATCTAGGATCAAGAAGAGAGTACTGTTTTCTGCACTGAGTCAGTCTTCAGACAGCCATTATGTTCTATTGCTGGGCCAAAAGGTTTTTTTTGTGTATTTCCTCTTTCAATAAAAATTTTATTCCAAGCTGTATATATGCAGCAATTTAGAAGATGATTCTACAGGAATACTCTTCAATAGCTGAACTGTAGATGTAGCTTGTACTCCTGTCTTACAAAACACTTGGCATTAGACAGGGATGAAATCAGCCAATTAATACATGGAGCTCATGAATGCATTTAACCTGGATGCTGACAAATTGCTGAGAAAAACAGTGAGATTCTGAAATGTGTAGATATGTGTAGGCATAACTCTTCTATGACAAGAGATACTTGTGAAGTTTCATTTACATTTCTGTCACAGAATTGGAGCCCTCGTCTGAAGTCTTGAAGGGAATAGTGCATATGCAAGCCCATTCACTGTGTATCTAGAGCAGTAATTCCATCTAATTTGGGCCTCTACTGCCACTATAGAACAAGCAATTGTCTCACTTGTGTTATTTTTTAAGGCCTACAGGATTTAAATACAGCAATCATCTATTCAGCAGTCTCTTTCAGTGCATTACATTGTTTGAACAACTACCGTTCTATCAGTGTCTTCAAAAACTTCTCTGGCCTCCTCGTAGCTGCACAGCTCTTCCATACATTCTCTTTCCAGGTTATCAGGCGTGAATGCTTCAAAATCAAATCTGTTGTTCAGAAGATGTCGTCCAATGAATAAATTGGCCTCCTTTGCTGATGTGAACACTAGTTAAAAACAAACAAAAAAGTTATTTGAAACAAGCTTGGAAGGCCTAAGCTTTTGCTTTTTAAAGAATGGGCAACATCCTATGGGATGATGTTGAATCCACTTCTTCCCCTAGCACATCTCAACTACATACAGGAGAAAGGAGCACAAAGCTCTTCTCCTAGAACATTAACTCTGCTGCTATCTTTTCTAACTATGTAATATAAAATAGAAATACTTTCCTCCCACAGGGCATTTCAGCTATCCCTAATACTGGCCAAGAGTATTTGGTTCTCCTGACAGCTGTTGAAAGTTTAAGTTTCAGTATTACTCCTCCTGGGATGTGGGCATCAGAGCCCTTCAGAACAAAGTAATGCTTGCAGAACACAAATCCAGTCACATTCAAACTAAGCAAAAAACAAACAAACAAAACCCACCCAAAAACCCAACAACCCTCAAAATACATCTATCAGTATTCTGCAAGTTTGTTTACACAATTCAGAATTTAAATCACAGCAGCAGAGCCTTATTCTTTTCACATTTGTTCTCACTGTTGTGACAGCAAGTACTAGCTAAAGTGCCGTGTAAACATTTCTTTGCTTTCAAGTAGTGTGTGATAGGAATTCTACTGGCAGCAGACACTTCTGAAGACATTTAATTCTTTTTCTCTCCTGTGCTTCCTCCAGGTGCCACAATGCCCTGTGGAGTAAGCTGTAAGATTCCAGAAGAGTTAGTGAAACTACAGCAGGCTTTGGAATATAGGAATGCATTTTCTCACCAGACATCTTCATAGTCAAGTTTTATCCCGTTCTTTGTACAGCTTCCTTTAAGGAATATCATCTTCATATAACAGAACTAGTTTTCTGGCTTGGCTGGTAGTGAATGCATATCCTGTTCTCTAAGAAATCCAGACTATTTGGTTCAGTAACATATGTAGAGGATTATTTTTGCAAGGGCAATGCACAAAATGCACATTCTATACCAAGTCAGATAGCTAAAAAAGGGGGTGAGGCTCAGAATAAAGGTATTTGGCTACAAATTAGCTGTGTTCTCGTTGGTTTGTTTTGCTGGATTATCATATCATTCAGGAATTTCTACCCTCATAGTTAGATAGCTCTCGCAGCGCTATCTCAAAACATTTTGTTCTCTGTAAGCTAAGAAAATGCAAGTATAACCTGCATATTGGTTGTTCATGCTTTTAATATGGCAGTGTAATGAAGAAATATTACAGCATGGATAGAGGGAACAGGATGCACATGTAAGAAGACATCTTTTACTTCAAAGTAGTCGCATGATAACCTATGCTTAAAATATTGATGCTCTATGTAGCAGTAACTAGAGATATGGTCTTCAGACTAGAAAAAAAGTGGAAATGGAAAACAATTACAATATTACAATAAATACTATATTATCCATATTTTGGTTCATTGCAAATCACATTTGAATAGGCGAGCAGATCTTTGGTTTTGCTCAGAAGTGTTTCATTCCTTACTGTAAGCAATATTAGCTATACTTCCCACTTAACTTACATAATTGCTGCATTTTAAGGAATGTGAAGTGTAGAACCCTAAATCCCAGTGATACAAGCTCTTTCTCTCTCAGTATTTATCTGTTTATCTGCTCTCTTTATCACTTTGTGGGATGTAATCAATACATACCTGTCTCCACCTACAAATAGCACATGACCTGGTGATTAAGAAAGTATTTGGAGAATGAAACAGATGAATTTGAATTCTCTGCTAGATGCACTCCTGCAGTCCCAGAGCCACAGTTCAACAAGATAGTAAATTCAGTTTTAGCATGTTTAATTAAAAATGCATCCACACAACGTGCTGAATAAAGTCACTCTGGTGGTAAAAGACGCTCAGAAGATGCTCAAGGTGTAACCTCTCACTGCAGGTACCCCACACTCTTGGCAACTGTTCTACTTGCTAAAACACTGGATGAAAGAGTTGGGCCCCCTGCTTTCCAGCTCCACCTTGGAGCAATCCAGGCCTTTTTACTTCCATGGGAGGGTTCTGTGCTGTGAACTCATAAGGAAGAGGCAGTCTGGCAGCTCTCCATTTTGCCCCACAGCAGAACAGATTTTAATGAATAACCTGTGTTCAGCATTTTTCTGCTCGACCTGCTGCCCTGAACGAGTCCCTTCCTCTATGTGACGGCTTTGACAAGCCTGTGCTAGGGTTATGGCACTCCTCATTCACTGAGAAGACAGGGCAGATATCTTACAAATTCACTTATGAAGCCCTGACGCTGAGATGTTCAGTATCTCACGTGTGTCACAAAGACTTGAGTCCTTCCTGGAGACATCACTGATTTCTACCTTCCAAACGAAGGCACTGCAGTAGCAGCACTGTGCTTTGTTTGAAGGTGGTGTAAGGGATATGGTATTGAGGAAAAATATCAGTCTCAGCAAACAAGCAAATAAACCCTCTCAATACAAATGAGTTTTAGACACTCAAAACTGTAATGCACTGTGCTCAAAATGTGGCTGCTCCAAAAGTAACGCCTCCTATTTTATGGTGTATGTCCACAACATCTGAGGTGGACGTTGGTGGCATGGCAGCAGAGGTTGAATCTCTCCACCAATATCCTGCTGTATTTTGTTGCCGTGTGATAGATGGCAGCAGAGCAGCAGTCTGACACAGAAGTAACTCCTGTTCATCACTGGTGAAATCAGAATGTTAATGGTAGCAACTACGTTGAAAAAGTGTTTTGTAGCTGAGAATTTGCTCTGACAAATAGTGTTACTGTGGTCTCCGTATCTGTTGTCATTTCCAAGGAAATAAATAGGGGGCGTTCGTGTCGGAGCAAACGAAGTACTATCAAAGATTACTCAGGAGAAACAAAGTTAAGAAGATATGGTTATTTTTCCGGAAAGCACAAACTTGTGCTGGCAGTGCCTTACCATGCGTGGCGTCGGGCTGCTCCGGGCTGCTCAGCCTCTGTACGCGGTGAAGAAACCTCGACGCGGTCAGCTGGAGCTGGCAGAGCAGCAGCAGCCCCAGCATGGCGCATACCTGCCCGACAGAAACCCGCACCTCAACGCACTGACAACGCAACCTCCCGAATGACGAAGCCCGAACAAGTCCCACACATGAAGTAATCCAACGCAAGTGCCTACACGCCGTTCAGCCCGACGGATCGCTAAAAAGAAAGCACCGACCCGAACAGGTCCTGCGTGCCATTGCGTAACCCCGCACACGTCGCCGTGGCTGTCCCACTACCCGCAGTGGGGGCACGGGGACACACGGGGCAGAACGGACCTTGGGGCAGGACGGGCCTTGGGGCCGGCCATCGCCGCGGGGCTGAGCCAGCGCCCTTCGCTCCATAGGTAACTGCGGGCTTCCAAGCAACGCGCGCCACTGAAACAACCGCGATGACCCACGGAAGAGGGGACGCTTGAGAGCCCCGACGAGAAGAAAGAGAGCCCGTGCCGTGCCGCGCATACCTGCCCGCCGCAGCTCCGAGCCGAGAGCCAGCTGCCGGGAACCATCCGCCGCCGTCCTCAGCGCTGAGCGCTTCCTGGAAAGGGCGCGGTGCGCACCAGGGCAGCACCCGCCCCGCACCGCCTGCTGCGCCCCGTCGGGGCGGTCCCACGGCCGGGGAAGGGCTGAGGCAGCCCCGCGGGACGCTCCGTGGTGCGGCTGCGTGTGCGCTCGCTGCACGGCCGAGCCCTGAGAGAGCAGAAGCGTGCACAAAAAGAGCAGCGTAGGTTGTTGGTTATCAGGTAACGCTAGGATGGTTAGAGTGCCCAGTCGCTACCTGTTGGAACGAGAAACAAAAAGCCCTTAGAACGGAGGACCGAGCAGCTTCTTAACTATGAAGTTCTTGTAGTTCTGACTCAGTGTCTCGTGCTGTGCAGTATTTACCAATCGGTTATGGTGCGATAAACTGCAGATAGAACCTCTCCCCATTCGAATGGGAACTACGCTGTTGCCTAATTAAACGAGCCCCTCTAGCGGAGCACAGAGGCTGCACACCCGGTGGGTTCTTCACCCTACTTCACTTTCTGAAACACAGGCTGTTCTTCAGTCTGTTACACACAACTGTGCTTGAATTGTGCCCCTAACGTGAATATTTAGTTCTGAACATCTACACTGTTAACCATAATTTCTGAGCAGTGGATGTCAGCACTTGTAACAGCACATCAATAACAAAAGCAGTCCTACCTCCATGCCCTGTCCATCCCTAGAGGTGTTCAAGGCCAGGTTGGATGGGGGCCTGGGCAGGCTGGGCTGCTATAAAATGAGGAGGTTGGTGGCCTTACACGTGGCAGGGGGCTTGAGCTTCATGATCCTTGAGGTCCCTTCCAACCCAGGCCATTCTGGTTTTGGTTTATTTAAAACAGTGAGCCTCTAAACGATTTTAATGATTGCATAATCAACAAATATTAAGATGCTATAATTATGAAACAAATAAGAGAGCTTAGCAAAGCAGACTATGATAACAAAAAAAGGATAAATAGAAGGCTTACCCCTATCCTGGGCTCACTCACAAAACACCAGCAGAAGTGATCTCCAGAAGAACTCTTTCCCCCTGGCAACCAGCTCTTAAATAGGTCTAGAAGAGGTGGAGCCAGGTGAATTGCCTTCACCTGTGCTCCCAGGGCTGACTCATTGCTCACTTCAGGTGGTTCAAGCCGTGACTCAGTAGTTCCCATACAATGATAAATTAGCCTTTGCTGGATAAATGATTCTATAGATCCTTTAAATTGTCGAGATGTCTCACGAAGGCAGGCAATGTGCTACACAACTGTTGTGGCACCTTTAGCTGTGCTGCCATTTTTTTTTAATCTGGGAAGTTCACGTGGGTAAGAAGGAAAGAGACAACTTTGGGCTGGAAGTCTGAGCACTGTTTTTGTATTCTAAACATTCATAGCATTTGCACCGTGCCATTATAATCTGACTTATGGGTGCGTGGGCCTACAACGTGACAAGCATGTCTTACTGTTGCCCCATTCATGCAAATTCTTTGCTATATATGGGGAAAGGCTACCGAGTCTGTATCAACACCAAGAGTCTGAGTACACTTCTGTATGGGAACTGCTAAGTCACGGCCTGAACCTCTGATTGACCACCTGAGATGAGCCATGAGTCAGCCAGAGGAGCACAGGTAGAGGCAATTCACCTGTGCTGCCTGGCTCCACCCCTCCTAGACCTATTGAAGAGCTGGCTGCCAGTGGGGAAGGAGCTCTTCTGGAGATCTGCTCTGCTGGGGTTTTGTGAGTCAGCCTAGGATAGGGGTAAGCTTTCTATCTATTTTCTTCTTGTTATTATTCGCTTTGTCAAGCTCTCTTGTTTATTTTGTAATTCTAACAAATATTCATTGAGTATACAGTCTGTATTTGTAAACTATGGTTAGTATGTGAGACTGAGGTTTTCTAGCAAGCTAATAATGAGATAATTAAATATCAAAACAAGTAAATAACTTGTTCTGCTTCTTTTTTCCCCGCTGTACTTTGTGACACTGTTGTCAGCAGTTTTCAAAGAGAACTATTTTGCTAAAAGGCATTAATCACGTTCAACAGTAATGTGTTAATACTTCTGAGGCAGTCATGTTTTTTGTTCAGTATAAACTCTGCACATTTAATTCCTGTAGTTGATGTCTATAACTAAGACATCCTTTGTTGGATTAACCAAACAAGAACTTCCTATTAACTTCCTAGGAAGGAGAGCAGTTGCAACTTATCCCTGCTGTTTGTTTTTTTACTTCTAGTCTGTTTCTGCCTTTTCTGGTGGAGAAGGGTTTAATTAAAAGAATTCAGCAGAACTCAGTTGGTATGGAGCCCATATAAAAGAGGTGACTTAAAGAAACTTTTGCAAAGGTAAATTGACATTGACCACATGGGCGTTTTTCTTTTGTGTGTAACTTGGAAAGCATTTGTTAAATTTTTTAAACCTAGAGAATGAATGCAATATATTCTGCCACATAAACGATGTTATCAGCTAGAAAATAATTTGGAAGATCTAGGTGATTACTTGGGACAGTCTCCTTAAATATTCTTTCTCAAAGATTGTGAAGGTAGTTTGATCCTCCGCATTCATAGCCTCATACTTATCATTTTATTGTGTACATGAAGATGTTATTTCCCAGCGTAGACAGAAAAATTCATGGCTTTTACTTGAGAGGTGGTGATAGTGGTTAGAGTTTGTATTTGAGCTTATGTAAAGTGCAGCACCCTTTCACAGAAATCATTTTCTCATTTATTTCTTAAGACTTTAAGAAATGATTGATACAGTAGTTCTTTGTGAACGATGGTTGAAGTTGTTAACCAACTTAAAAGAAAAAAAAAAGAAGAAGAAAAAAGAAATTGAGGTAACCTTGCATTTGTGTAGTTTTAGACAGGATTACTTATTTATGCAAGGAGACAGAGACTCATAAAATAACATGGAATGTAATGCTCATTGAAAGAGAGACAATAAGTTATACTCCCTGATTAATACATTTGATTCATACTTGAGAAAATTAAGTTGTAAGATGTTCTGTTAGGAGTTTTCTTGTGCTTGTCAGCCAAAAGAGGCTGAAGGACTTGGTGGTCTCAAGGGACTGACAGATCTCCCTTTCCTTGTGAAATAAGCTCTTCAAGACTGCTGTGATATTGTTGTGTTTAGTCCAGAGATTATGTGTAATAAAGCATGCTGTTTTCTAAAGTATCTGGTCTTTAACTGATTATACAAGAAGTTGGAAAACTGCTAATCACCACTGGTTTGGTGTTCTGGTTCAAAAGGCCCAAGTTTTGTGGAAAAGTGTTTCACACTTTTGATTATGAAAGATATTAGGTGAAATGGTTGTAGTAATTATGCAATAGGAGACTAAATAATAAAGCTATTGGTATTTAAAAGAGTTCTAAAGAACATAATATAACGATGCAGTGGTGGAAGTACATCATAGGAAGTACAATACAGATATGAAGACATTGCATAGGAAGTGAAGTGAGCAATTGGAGATGTTTTGCAAATTCATCTAAGCGCAAATCTAGACCCTTTTTTCAAGCTAAGTGAGTTATGTTTTCAGAAATCATGTTTTCCTTTTAGAGCAATCAAAACAATTTCTGTTGCCTACGCTTACATGCATGAAAACATAAACATGGTACATGTTAGGCTGCAGGAATGCAGGTACAAGAATAATGGAGTATGAAGAAGTGAAGAATAAATAATATGCTATTCAAGTGATACTGCACAAATGAGTCTAGAAAAACTGTTTTGAGATGCTTTTCTTCTATATAGGTAGCTTTAACAGATTGGACTTGTGAAATCAGTTTTATAATGTTAGGAAACTAAGCAAAAAGTTATGTGCTACCAAACCTGGGAAATGTCTGCTTAGGATTAATTTAGAGAATTCTTTCAACCAAAAAGTATGTGTACATATTTATCATGTTAATAAAGATATATTCAATTAATTTTGAAAACCAGAGTAGAAAATTAATTTCCCTCCCACAGTCTTAATGAAGAAATAAAGAAACTAATTTCCCATTGCTGTTAGAGGGGTAATCCACTCCTTCACATATTAAGAAATTAATGTAATACATCCACTCAGCCAAAGAGTCCCTGCTTCTTCACCTGCCCCCAGTCTCTTACATCAGCTTCTTCTGTGTAGTACAATTATGAAAAAGAAAACCGAACAAAACTAACTCTTATGTTGTTCAGACATCGCTGGGCACTTAGTCTCATGCTGTTCCCAATAAAGCCATCAGTTGAATTGGGTGATATTTGCCAGTCCTGTTTTTCTACTAATAATAACAGCTTGGAGAATGAAGAATGCAGGAAAAAAAAAAATCAAGGGAAAATTGTGATCGGCTTTATATTCCTATATATATTTGACTTTTCCAATGGAGTAACAAGGCCATCCTTTTTGTTTGACCTTAAAGAAAGTTGTTTCTGGGGGGAAAAAAAAAGATCAAATTATTCTAAGGTATTTGAAAAGTGTATTTGAGAGATGGTCAGGATTGCAGTGCTGGAAACTTTTTTTTTGGTCTTCAGGCTGTGTTTGCTTGACTGAAGTATCTCGCAGGGCCTGGCAGCACACTTGCATTGGTGCAGCCTCTCCTTAATGTAAGGAGGCAATGTTAACACAGCCTCAGTTTGAGGAAAGCAGTTTAGATTTGTAAAAAATATAACGACTGTGAACTTCGATATTAACAACGAAGACTCGTGCAGAATTTGGGCCATACCTGAAGATGTGGTTCAGTGAGTGTTGATGGAAGTCAGTGGGCGCCATTTTCCCGCCTGGAGGAGCTCAGTGATGCCTCTTTGCTTCCTCCGCGTTTCCATGCCAAGTGCCATTTTGTCAGCGTGCCCGTCTGTGTCACGGCAACAAAATGGAGCAGGATATTGGTGGGAAGGCTCTCGTGGAAGTTTGTGCTGTTGCCAGAGGCGATATTCCTGCCAAAGCACAAAGCGGCTTCAGACAGGTGAGGAGAGCTGAGGGCAGAGCGCAGCTCTCCTCAGCCCTCGTGTGGTGAGGCGGGAAGGCGTCAGTGGGCGCAGCGTGGTGGCTGCGGCCGGCTGGCTCTGCGTTTCCTTCCTCTTCCTGCCTGCTTCACCTTGCGCTGGTGGTATGTACGTGTTAATATTTACTGAGTAGGACTAGTAAAATATCTTGTCATGTCGTCTCTTGTGTATCTTGAGAGAAAAGCCTCAGAATATTTCTGCCTCCCTGGGCGCATGAAGCTGTGGAAGGCTGCAGGTGTTGCTGTGGTGTTGGACAGGGCACCCAGGGAGCAGAGAACGGCTGCCTGCGTCGGCAGTCTCTGGGAGCGCTGCTGAGGAGGAGGCAGAGCCCCAGCATTCCCTGCCTGCTGCTGTGTTTCTGAGCTCCTCTTGGAGCTGCTGAGTGGGCAGTATTGGTGGTAGGTGAAAAATGTTTGACTCAGAGAGTGGCGAGGCACTGGAACAGGTTGCCAAAGGGCTGTGGAGGTCCTTTTTCTGGAGGCTTTTGAGGTGAGGTTGGATGGGGGCCCTGGGCAGCCTGGTCTAGTGGATGGCAATGCTGCCCGTGGCAGGGCGGTGAAGCTCGGTCCTTTTTCATGTCCATTCCTGCTCAAGCTGTTCTATGATTCTGTGAGCAGCTTACTTCCTTGAGGAGCTTTACCATGAGGGTCTCATAATGTTTAATAGCAGTTTGGCGTAAGTTGGGTTCAAGAAGAATTTGTGGAGAAAAAGTATTGCTCAAAGTATTCATTTGTTATGCACACTTAAAAAAAAGCACATTATTTTTCTGAATACAAAACAGCTCCTTTCCAATGCTTTGGGAATATCACTATATTCCCAAATATCAGTAGTGCTGCTCTTGAGGACACTGCAGATTTCCAGTGTTTCTCCTGATTTCTCTCCAGTTCAGATTTGGCGAAGAGAGCAATTTATTCCTCATTGTTCCCCTTAATGAGAAAAAGTGCCACAGCTCAACATGGTTCTGAGTGATGCTTCCGTAACTGACATCTTTCTTTAATAATGTATTTTTCTTCTGTACAGTCCTCAGTGAAAATCTGTTAGCATAGGCTAATTCCTTACTTGATGGTAGTGAGCCCCAGTAT